TAACCAGCGATAGATATAAAGCAATTTAACAAGTAACAAACATAAGTTATTTTACAGAAATAGATATAACATTAATTGTGAATTTTCAACGGCAATGATATAAAGATGAAAAGTAATATAATAATTTTTCCAAAAATTATCTACATCGACTTCATTTTTCTGCAGTTACTTGGAAATCTATGCTCTAATTAAGCCAGCAATAAAATTAAACCAATTCGCAGGCATATCCTCTCAAATGTGTCTTCTCCATCGAATTCACATAAACTCTTCCAGAGCTATGCAAACGTACACACGAAAAATAAATAGAAATTTTGTTGCATCTATAGAACCTTTTCCTTTTATAAAGTCGATTAAAAACGTAAAATTAGAATAATAATTTAACGAAAGCCAAGCTTATGATTATCGAAATTCAAATATCTAAAATCGTAAATATTTGGAAAATTGTTTTTGTGATACCAACAATTTTGCAGAACTGTTTTACAACTCGGGTAACAAAGTTTCTCCAATTGCGATATTTAATAGTAAAATTCAGAAAGTTGTTAAGGTTGAGATTTCTAGCTATTCAAATATAGGTTTATAACGATCAAATCAAATTAAATATCATGGTCAGAATTGTTCCATTCAGTGAAGCCAACTACTTACACCCACACACATACACACACACACACACACACACACACACACACACACACACACACACACACACACACACACACACACACACACACACACACACACACACACACACACACACACACACACACACACACACACACACGTATCAGTTAGCTATCATTTGGAATAAATAAGCGATTTGTAACATCGAACATTTCTACTTTTTTACTCGCTTAAGATGCAGATGATTATTTCTTTTTGTCCATTCCAACAAGAGATTCTGTATTTGGCCTCAATTATTTCATATTAGCGCACATCTCTGAAACACTCCAACCCATTCCAATAGGTTTAGGCTCACTTAATCTTTTACAATTGGAATAGATACATGGCTCGATTGTATATTTTCGGACAATTATATTTTGATATTTTTGTTTTTACAAAATTTACATTTCAATAAACGTATTATAATATCATTTGTTTTCATAAGAATTTACTGCATATCAAAAGAAATTCTTATATATCTTCTTTATCGACTGTTATAATAGAACTCTGAGGCAATATGTTTAGTTAATATTACATTTTTGTATAATGTTGAATATTGAAAGTGAATTCATTCAAGTATTGACATTTTAATCAGTGATATATTTTTACAGGCTTACGTTATATGAAAAGGAGTTAAATCTCTTCCGATTACCAAGTATATAAAGGGGATTCATTGTGTCGCAATCAAAATTGATAAAAAATAATGCCGTTGCCTTATTTTATGAAAGTGATAACGGTGATTGGTCATATTTTTACAAATGATGTCAGTTCAATCATTAATCGCGATATATATGATTAAATGTCAAACTGAGTTTCGATTCCCATTTCAACTTCAATATTAATATTAATATTCAAGGCTTCAAGATAGCTTTTGAATTTTTTAGCTTGTTAATATTCTATTAATAATTATGAAATAATGGATATGATGAATTTTGTAGCTGATTTTATTGAAAATATTAGCAGATTAATTTGTAGTTGGCATTCTTAAGATTGACCACTTATATTTCGTACATGTTGTGTATATTATTTCCCTACAAAAGGAAAAAATTCGATTAAAAAAAAAATGCTTACGACAATAATTTGATGATGATTTACATTGATTTTGTAAATTAAATCAACGAAATAGTGCAGCTGAATATTAGCATTTCTTTCTACATTCATCTCTACAGTTTAAAAAATAATAAGTAAAATAAAACATTATGATTTTGAAAACGTTGTGCTTTTCCTTGATTTACACGTGAACTAATGTATTTGGAGTGAAAAAAAACTTTTATTTGAAACTTTTTCTTTTAAGATTATTATATTTGAAATTGCAGAGCTAAATATGTAAAAAACGGCTGAAATGCTACGACGCTACAAAGCCGTTTTGCTCAAGCGGCTGTTTTGCCGTGTGCGGGAATCGTCAATTCGCTCGAAGTCATGTTATTGCCCGAACCTAGGCATTCATTACTATTTGACTTATTAATTACTGATTTCGTTGCAATCGATTTTCCATGGACATTGTGAAACGCATTCTCGACATACTTAATTGAGTGATAAACGGACTGTTTGTTACAGATTGTAAAATAAGATATTGCGAATACCCAAGAAAATAAATATTATATATGCTGGTGCTGAACTAGTTAACATCATCAGTTTACTAATTTACTATTCATAAATTGTAAACAAATAAAGAAATAAATAAACATTTGTTCATTAGTATCCTACTTACATGGACGTGACTATTATATTTTATTATTCAATGTTGTAATTGATAGACACGATGTAACAATGAGATTATAAAGAATGGATATTATTAACTATATTTTTTTTAACCAGAAATAGCAATAAAGTCAGATAGATAGGATTCTCCTCAAGATTTTTGAATTAGTAATCTGAAGTAATTTAGGCACTATCCACTATAGTTTGTTTAAGGGGACCAGAGGGTGTTTCGTAGTGAAAAATTAACACTTTGTTTATTGCCGCGTAGAAATCATTCTACTGAAGATATCGATGTAGGACTTTTTTCAGCTGAAAGTATTCTATATAAGCTTTCATTTTCTTTGTTATAAGTTCCAGAATAATCATTGTACACCTAATATGGACACAACAAAGACCAAGCTCTATTTTTCAAAAAATGGGGCTTTGCCACGCCTTTCTGAACGCCAGAGTGGACAAAAATCGTTTTGTGAGAGCTCATTTTTTTTGTTATGAACCGGACTACAGAATGAGCGGAGCACTTTTATAAAAAAGATAATTCTTCCTATTTTTTTGAGCCAATATATGAAATTTTAATTTTTCAAAAAAATTTTTTTTGCAAATTATCCTCAAAAAATAGGAAGAATTATCTTTTTTAGAAAAGTGCTCCGCTCATTCTGTAGTCCGGTTCATAACAAAAAAAATGAGCTCTCACAAAACGATTTTTGTCCACTCTGGCGTTCAGAAAGGCGTGGCAAAGCCCCATTTTTTGAAAAATAGAGCTTGGTCTTTGTTGTGTCCATATTAGGTGTACAATGATTATTCTGGAACTTATAACAAAGAAAATGAAAGCTTATATAGAATACTTTCAGCTGAAAAAAGTCCTACATCGATATCTTCAGTAGAATGATTTCTACGCGGCAATAAACAAAATGTTAATTTTTCACTACGAAACACCCTCTGGTCCCCTTAAAGTCACTTTAATATAGATAAAAAATACTGATTACGAAACAAAAGCTTACGGTAAAATTAAAAGCGTATAATTCCACAAATTTCCTTCTATAACACTGGCTGAGACCCCCTTACCACAACCTGCAAAGTGTAATGGACAGTGAAAAAAAAATACCATTCGAAAAATCTCTAATTTAACCCTCCAAAATACTCATTATTTTAATTAAATCCCTTCAGTTGTCCCAAAATTATTAAAAACTATGATAATTTTTTCGTTTTGTGCAACTGCGATATCTTTAGTAATACTTAATATTTTTGCAAAGAAAGAAGGCACAAAAATTGAACCCTTGCTCGTTTTAATTGTACCCCTCTTGCTTTTTCAAAATTATTAATATATATATCAAAAACAACAATCTAATTTTATTGTATGTTCTTTCTAAGTAGATGGGTTATTGGGTTATTTAATAACCCATTCTTATTAATTATTATAGCTGTAATAAAAAAATTATAGAAAAACTGCGCGTGGTTAATAAAGATAGCAAAAGTTATTTATAATTCCGCGCAATTTCATTTATTAATAGGAATGGGTTATTTTCTGAAATAACCCATTCCTATTAATACAGCTGTATTAATTAATTCCTATTAATTCCTATTAATTAATAATGCTGTATAATTCAAATTCTACAGGGGTACAAATTATTTTTTTGGATTTTGTAGATGGTACAAATTAAGAAGAAGACATTCATAATCTTTTACATTAAAATGTCACGATTTTTCCGCCGAGAAAAGAGATTTTCCGCAGCGCGGAAGACACGAAATTAGAATCGTCGAATTAGACTACGAATTAATTTTTTTCTCGATATTTTCGAAGAGTTCAAATTTCAAAATAACTATTTTTCAAATGGTTACTGATTAAGGCAAGGCTGGTGGTGTATTTTGTTTTAGGAAATAATGTTTTTTTTCTCTATTTTTAGAGGTACAAATTCCAAAAAAGCATTTTTCTGATGGTACAAATTAAAATGAAACTAGTGGTATTTTTTTCTTTTAAGATGTCAGTCATTTTTCTGCCAGGAGTATGAGTTTTCCGAAATATCGTTTTTTTACTTTTTTTTTAAATGTTGGGGGGGGGGGGGGGTTACAAATTCAAAAAAAGCAATTTTCGGGTGGTACAAATTAAGACGAAGCTAATGGTATATTTTTTTTAAATCAATCATTTTTCTGCCAGGGTCGTTTTGATCTGTAAATGTCATCAAAAAATTCCGCGAATCAATCAGCTGCTCTATGTTTGTTCTACGTTATCGTTTGAGACATGGGCTTTATTTACAAATAAAGCACTCTGCCCGGACATTAATTCGTGACCCGCGAATTTCAAAATCCGATATTATATTTGATCATTAAACATCAATGGGTTTAAATGAGTTTTTTTTGGTAAGGTAAAGAGGCCCAACTTGCCAAAATAAGCCCTTTGACCTAACCTTGTTTGGTGTCATCGATTTTCAATCATGGACAATAATTCAGACTTTTGCGAATGAATGTCCAAGCTGTGTATTATAGAAGTATTATGGCGCAAGATAGATTAAGTGTCGCTGTAGCGAGCCATAGAAGAGTATTTTTGATAAGATTAAAAAATATATCTTGTTGAAAAATTGTGAATTTATATAACATTAGAAAAGAAAATTAATTATTGAAACAAAGATTTTATCGAATGTCATAATATAAAGCTTTTTTATTCTGCACTTTTATACAAAAAACCGTTAAAATTGACTTAATAAATTACAAGCTAAATTAGTATCTTGTTTTACAAAATAGCTAATTACTCTTGCCCCTTAAACTATCATATGTATTGAACTTATTTCCCATTTATCTTTAAATTCAGAGCTCTTTCTTTCAGCTTCACTAGCGTCATCATCTCTGATACACTGGTACATCCGTTTTGCTCAAAAAACGTTATTGCGTCGTTTAAGCCACTTAATGCTTCACTTGCTGATACAGTCTTCGTATTTTCACACATATTTTCTGCAACTAAAACATCAAAAATATAAAACACATAATAACTATTTTTGAAAAACAAAATTGGAAATAAATACAGATGATAAAAAAAGTTTTCAAGAGTAATTACCATCAACTTGTTCCTCATTGTCGTCCTTCACAACAATTTCAATAACGTGATTGTCTATAGATATCCTCGATGTCTCGTGATTTTCAGCGATCCACTTAGCTACTTCATCAACTCCAGCATCCCTATATTCTTTGATTCTCCTCAGTGTATCTAGTACAATGGCACCGTTAACGCTTTGCGCCTCTTCAATGACTCTACGACTTTCCTCATTGTCAGGCAATAACTTTCTCCAGCACTTGACAATACTCGCTGGTTCAACTTCATTCCAAGCACAAGTAATCCAATAGATAAAATCCCTAAGATTGATTCTTCTTAAAAAATCACCGGATATCTCACCGTCTTGCTGAGCTGCAACGATTGCTGTGAGTAATTTTTGCGCATAATTGAGCTTGACGCACTGCAGACTTTCGTTGTCTATTGGTCCAATCACCAAACTTAAATTATGCAAAATTAAGTGTATCTGCAATTCACTGGTCGGCCGATTTTGAAAGGCATCTGAGGGAACATTCTCCGCAACAAGAATGGCTTTCAAAGGTAAATTGCGACTTTTGAGAAAGTCCGTGACTCTAGGTGTGAACTCACTATCGAACCACTCGTTTAAAGCATCACTATCTAACCACGTACTAGTCTGGTGAGCATAGAATATTGGCAAACAATGCTGTAAATTCACCAGTGTTGTTGACTTTAATGATTTACCAAGAACCACTAATGGTAATTTTAAACTGCCATCGGCATTGCTGCAAGTCATTATCGTAACTCGATCTCCCGAAGTCGTGCGACCTGGTAGAGATTTGTAGTGCATTACACTTTTGTCACATTTGAAGATTTGACAACGTAACAGAGATTCTTCTTCGACTGCATTTGTTAACGTCATTGTTAATTGATTCAAGGCTGAGTCTTCTGGGGGTTTGTTATCTTCTGGAAAAGTTGTGTTGAGGGTATATGGCAGTCCGTATTTTCGTTTCCAGTTGGTAAACCACTCACTGCTTGCCGTGAAGTTCTCTTTTCCGCCGAGCATTTTGTTCAGCTCTAATGCCTTTTCTAGAATAATAAATATATTAGTAGCATAGAATTCGAGCTGAATTTATGTATTTCTCAATTCTAATAAGGAATCAAATGTATTGAAAATTCATAAAAGGATAAATTACCTCTTAGCATGAGTCCCGAAAGCGGAATGTTTTGCTGTTTGCAGCGATTATACCAGGCAATAAGTGCTTCGCCGACATATGGATTATCATCGGGTCGAAGTTTCTTACGGCTGGCATTTTCCTCATGCAAAGCATCACGGATCTTTTGCTCATCGTGGACCCATCTACGGAGTGTGCTTTCACCGATACCATATTCCTTGCGTACCTCCGCTTTTGAGCGACCGGCTTTCACATCGTCCAGTACACGCACTTTTTCTTGTAAAGAGAAATTCTTTATCCGCCGTTTGGCTGTACAGGTGAAAAAAGAAATTGAAAATGAAGATTATTTTGGTGAAATAAGTGTTGGAAGTGTGCAGGGTACTTACCAGAATTGTCAGGAGTAGTTGCAGCTATGTTAGGAAATGTGAAAGGTGTCTTGAGGTACAACTGATCAAGAGACACTGTACCATTTTCTGAAAATAATGAATGTATTAGAGAAATTCAAAATGTATAAAAGCAAGCAAGACACATGTTTGTTTGACTTTATTACCAGCACTAGCATAGATCACAGCATGACTACTTCTATCTGCATTAATAATATTGTTAGTACGAAAAAGATCACTGTCATCTATAACATATTATATTTATATATAGTTTAAGTACAAATAGTTGATAAACTTTATATTGTTTGTGCTCACCAGGACAGCTAGACATGATGAACTCAACATAAACCTTTAGCTGAATGTGTAATTAAATAAATTTCTGAAATAATGATAAAATATTCTTATTGTAAAATCAATAAAATAAATCTGAGATTGTCTAACTATTTTCATGACAAAATAACTGATAACATTTTATATTCTTAATTTGAATATGTGATAATGGATGTTACACTCCATATACAAACCTTTACATTTGGCAAATGAAAGTACCATAATGTAGCGTATCAGCAGTCTTGTAAATTTATCAACTTACAGTTCATCTAGTAAACATACATCAGATCTTTAAGAAAGTTTTTTTTCTATTAGCACAGAAAAAACAAATCGAAAACCCCTAACTACTTTTAAATATATGATAATACACTTATCAAAATTATAACCTATAAATTGCAATTTTCCACACTACTGATTCGCTTTGTTTCCTTGTTTAAATAATTTATGATAAAAACTTCAACGACCACTGAAAACAAGTAAGAACACACACTTTCAAGCAAATAATTGTTGCATTTGACAAAAAATCAGAAAAAAGCTCGAACAAGGAAAAAGCCTTATAACGTCAGCAAAATAATACTTATTAAGCACCTTTCTCTGTGTTGATTTCCAAAATACTTGGCGATATATGCATTATTTACAGATTCTGATATGGCTAATTCATCGATAGCAATGATTTCAAAAGATAAATTGCAAATAGCTTGTGGAACAAGAAACGAGAAAAGCGCGGAGAAAACGTAGGTAATATCTCTTTCTTTCGACTAGGAGGTAAACAAATACAATGTGTTGCGGGATCTCCGTCGAGAAAGTCAGTCATTCACCGCACCGACAGCTCGTTCATACTCAATACCTATGTAGGTATGTTAGTGCCCGCGTGACTTTGAATTTTTGCAGGCTATGTGCAGGCTGTAGCTCATTTGTTTTGTATATATAGGTATAGGTTCGTGCGAGATCCTGTGTTGCTGTTTTGAAAAATGTTGGAGTTTTGTTGAACTACATGACTCAAACGAAAATTGTTTATACATTTTGTTAGTGGTGGAATGAACTTGTGAACTATATACATTGATGTTAAACAACATTTATTCCTCAGTGCCATTATAAATCTTATATACATATATTCATTGATTGAATGATATTTTTACTTTGTAAAAGTAAACGATTTAAGTGTAATTTGCACTTTAGAAAGAGCTAGATTTTAAATATTACTTCATGAAAGAATACATCAAAATTAGAAATTATTAATAGGAATAATATTATAGCATTGCTCATAATATTAGAATACAGATTCACTTATTATATGAGAAAATAATTTTATGTACATATACATTAACTAAAACTAAAAGACAGATTTATAGATATTTAATATAATCCATAATTGAGATCCAGGCATAAATTACTTTTCTTTAAATGTTGCAAAATATGCATTATAAGACAGTGTTCATACTTGGTTGTAAATATACATGTGCTGCATTGAAAAAGTTTCTTTTTGCCACAAGTATTTATGTGCCTTGATAAATGCAAGGAATATTGATACCTTTTACCACATCTTGGACAAGCTGTAAAAAGTTAAAATATAAAAATCAATTTTATCAAACTAACTAATAACATCTTTCCTATAAAAATAACCAATTAATTCACTTAATCATGTTATTACATTTTAACATGTTCGAACAATGTAAATTATCTTCTTTAATTTTTTTAAAAATGCCACCTTCAAAATGTCTTGAAAAAATATGCTGTCTTAAATAGGATTTTCCTTTAAAGTAATTTAAACAATGGTCACATTGTAAATATAATTTACAACAATAAACCAAATGACTTTTTAGCTTTTGATTAGCCTGATAATGCCTACTACAAAAAGGGCATACTGAAAAATTTTAAATATTAGTTTTGGTTACAATCATATTGTAAATTTTATATAGTTTCATAAAAAAATCATAAAATATGCTTTTTAATAAATTTACCAAATATTTCATTTGTTGAACTACTATTATTAATTTTGTTATTGTAGTGACAGTGGTATACATGAAATATAAAATCTTTCTTATAATTACTTTTGAAGGCACAACCACTACAGCTATGAATGAACTTTCTTTCCTTTAAATAAGATTTAAATTTATATTTCTTTGAGAATCTTTTTTCACTATAATTTCCCAGTAAATTTTCCTTTTGAAACAACAAATCATCTTTTTTATCAGCTAGAAATATATTTTTCAAGTTTCACGGTTTATATGTTTGATTTGAATTTTTCAAATAAAGCTACTTGGTTTAATAGTTTAATAACTAATTGACATACCTGTTTGTAAGGAACAAATATTCTCCATATTTTTATTTTTATTTTGTACTCCTCTATAGCTTAGTGGCTTATATTTAGGATGCATAATAGAGATATGTTTATTCAAATTAGCTTCATATTTTGCATTTACAGAACATTCAGGACACTGGAAAAGCTTATTTTTATAATAAAGATTTGTAGAATTCATATTAATACTTGTCCAGTTTGTAACATTTGTATTATATATATGCTGCTCTGAAACAATAATTGCCATTAATCATAAGTTCTTCGACTCCATGTTTATAAATCTATTTCTATGCCAGCGAGATATAAAAATTCTTCTAAATTTTTAGTTGAGTATATTTGAAGCACAGCAATCAAGATTTCTTCAGGTACTCTTTTTCTTATTGGATCGTAGATGAAATTATAATAAAATAATAAATATATTTATTGAACTTTGAAAACCTTACCATCGTCAGCACAATCCCAATCAATTTCTAGATTACACTCTTGTTTAATAAATATATTACTTAAGTCATTCTCAATGTTTTCTAAGAAAATATATTATTCATAAATTTTAATATGCTTTAATAGAGAGATTACTACTGCTCATAATTGATTTTTACCTTGTTTCATTTCATCTTCAATTACTTCTTTCACTTCTACGCTTTTAAAATGTTTATGGTCAATCTCCATTTCTTCAAAATAACTTGTATCTTCAACTTCCTTTTTCACACTTACTACTTTGTAATTTTCACAATTATTGTTCATGTTGCCCGAATTTTCTTGTGTTATTTATTTAACTGATTCTTTGAGTTATTCCGTCAAACAAACTTAATGATCTCAATAGTCAATTGATGCATTTCTTGTTAACGAAAAGACCGTTGAGTTCTACGATGCAAAGGCACCGCGTCTTATACATATGAAAATTCGGAGTTTGCAGGTTATGCCGACGCTTTTGTATATTGGCATTACGTGATTGAACTATTCAAATTTTTCTTAGAAAATAGATAGATATATAACTTTTCGAATCAATATGAACACTTTATTTACTGTATTCCATAAAAATATATTTGAATCAATTATTTTTTTCATAAAATAAATTATGCCTTGTTTATTAATATTATAAATTGTGCATCATGTGTATTTTCAAAAATTTTAGTAAGTATAATAAAAAAATTAATATTATTCTCAAATTTTAAGTATCTTGTATCATTTGACTAAAATGTATTATAAATTATACAAATTATTGATTTATTGATTTATTTATTATTTATTTAACGGAATGGAATCCCATACAATTATAGTACAAACAATATAACAATATAAGTAGATAAAAAAAGGATATAAAAGCAATAAGAAATATAAACATAGTATAAAATAAAAGCAATAGTAAACAGATATATAGTGATGTAATATAATAATATAATATGATATAAATGTGAAGAAAATAAATAAAGAAAACAGTATAAGACAAAATAAAGCAACCTGTCAATAAAAAGAAGAATAATATGGATTGGAAGCAAATTATTTATAAACAAAAATATTTGATCAGACTATGGTTTTTAATAAGCTAATGTAAATGTAAAGGATGTCTATAGGAGATGAAAGATTATTAATGATATTATAGGAGCGATCAATGATAGAAATAATATAATAAACCTTTAGGCTGCGGGAAATTTCAGTATAAATTGACCTCTCAGAATATGTAAAATGTATACATAATATCACTGGATATCTTAGATAGAGTCGTTGACCTGACCAGTGGTCCATATATCGACCAACCCAGCAGGCAACGTATAGTACAATGTAAAAAAATTTGTCTCTTTTGTTATGAAGATTTGAGAAATTACTTATATGTAATTTCATGCGTTGAATATAAAAAAATAGTAACGAAATTCTTGCAGACACCCATGACCTTGATAATCACCATTTGAAGGTCAAATTTTATTCCTACTATAAGTCAAGTTTTTAGACGGTATTTTAGTATTTTAAGGTCAAGAATATTTTGAGAAATTTAAAAACTACTTATTATGTTTTCAGATCAAATTTGATCTAAAAACTTCAAATATTCTATGTCTCTAGAGTGGTCCATATAGCGACCACCCCCGCAGCTAAAAGATTAAAAGTACTTTTACGAGGACGAATAGAAAACGTAAAATTAAGTGACATCGATAATAATGGCGGTAAATAAGCCGCTGAGAGTAGTAGAGTAAAGCCATAGTCAAGCTTTAGGATCACATATTCTAAACTATAGTTACAAATTTGTAAATAGATATAAGTATGTGTCATTTACTTACACATTTGAAGGCAGGAATCTGTAGAATCGCATTTTATGATTAAATAACAAGCTATCATATTTCAATTTTTAAAATGTAACATAAATTCGATTACAATAATTGATTTTAAGCGTTTACATGTCTTTTTATCCATAATATCACATTATTTTCTGATACATATATAAATATTATTATAGACATAACTTGATTACTATCGTAAAAAATAAATTTTGCGTTAAATAAATAAAGTAAACCTTTTTTTTTAAATATTTATTTATTATTTATTTATATAAATTAATATTTCATTGATTATCTAGACAATCGTTTTTTTAGTCTTCTTATATAGTTTTCAGTTTTCAATAATTTTCAATAACTTTCAAGTAACCACTGATGTAAAACTAAATTTACTAGGTTTTTCCGTGGTAATTATTTTTTACAGCTTTGTTGAAAGAACTGCAATAGTATGATCAAGTATGTTGTTATACAAATCAGAATCTGAAATACAAGAATTATCAACTTAAAAAAAGAACAAATATGATAATAAAAAGGATAAAGAAAAATACCGATTTGAGTAATGTAATATCCAAAGAGTATAAGCCGAATACAGTGAATTGAATATTGTGATGAAACAAATACTGAGAAAATTTGATAAGCTAAAATGAGAAAAATTTTCAACTTGTATGAATATTGACTTTTCTATAACATTATATATTCTATAGAATATTAAGCAATCTGACCTGACTTTCGAGCCTTTCATCCAAAGGAGTTTCTAAACTGTCATTTATCACTTTTTTCGTTCGTTGGGTCTGCAAATGAGGACAAAATTCCTTTATCCAATATAGTTATTGCTTCAAATAGATATAAATTAATTATACCTCATAAATTACGTTGGTCACAAATTTTGGTAGTACGACAAGAGGAAAAATTAAATCGATTAAGTAAAAGCCAAGATGCCCGTAAGAAGCTGTTATATCGTACTCGCTCCATAAAATATGTGTCGAAATATAGTACAATATTCCAGTTAGTGCAAAGAATAAATGGAGTATACAAAAAAATATTGGGAGTGAATAAAAGTCGCACACGTCTTGTGAAATTTTGGATAACAACGAATGCATTTTACGCAAACGTAATAGTTCGTTGTATTTTATTTGTGAATTTGAACTGTATGCTATGTACTTGCCAGTTGAGTTCAAATGAATATTTTCAAAAATCTTTGAGCAGTGATTGTTCAAAATTTCAAAGTAACAGTTGATGATATTCAAAATCATGCAATACTGTAGTATTAAGCAATCGTTGACTAATTTACACCAATTATTACCTACAAGATGTAACCAGAAATTGCGTTTTAAGCGAGTCGAAAACCCGAATAATCCAACCCATATAATGCTTTGCACAATTAGTGTAATTAACGCTTTCTTCATCAATACTGATCTTGATTTTAATACCTTTTTCGTAATCTCTGGTAACATCTGCCTAATTTGATTGATTTTCTTCGACACAGCTATGATATTCTCTTGCCTCGTGCAATATACTAAAAGAATAATCACGCCGCCGGCAATATTACATAAATCTATTGTAGTATCAATTCTTTTATTACTCATCTGATCACTTTTATTGTCTCTAGAGTTCATTAATCCTATGTAATTTACAGCGAGCATAATAATCGCTAATAGCAAGTTATACACAATACCAAGTTTAGATTTGTACAGTTGAAGATGTGTGCTTGATTTGTGTGCAATGAGGCCGTTACTGTTTTTGTCAAACCGCATACTCATAGTAGCAAGCCCACATAGTTTGTAAAAATAAAATACAATTTTTATGATTGCATATTCATTATCCAGTTTGCGCCTGATAAAACTGATCATTTTATCAATAGTAAGATTGATGTTTTGACACACGTGTTTCACTACCAATGCAAGATTCGAATGTTCTGAAAAACTTTTTAATATAATTTTGCTTGGTTCGCTGTCTTTTGAGCGACAGTACTCTTCTTCACTGTGCTTTCGGAAAAATTGTATTTACACTGACCTTTAACAAATCAAATCACATAACTTGTTATGTCATGATCACAGGTAAGAGATGCGCACTGTAACGTTTATTTGGGAATTTCATATTTGCTTATTAAGGATGTAGCTGGCGGAAGCGGCGCAGTCTACAAATATTTTTTCAATAACTGCGTGCTCAAAGTACATAATTACTCAGCATAACCATGATCAACTCTTGCCCCCTCTGCCCTTCTTCGCGATAACAATGAATATTTCATTATTTAAGCTTCGTCAGGGAATGTAACTCTTTTGGAAAAAATAACTATCGATTTAATTGAGCTGTTTTGGGACTAAATATTCACAAGTAAGAAAAAATATAATCATATATTATACATTCGCTTATATTAAAGAATATGTTAATATTCTAATTTCGTTTTATTTTCTTTGTAATCTTTAAATATTTTGCAAAACTATTGAAAATTATACAATTATTACTATACCTATACAAAACTACATAGCACTGTTATAATTTTTTTTATTTTTCAAACTTGCTCAAAACATTAAAAAGCCCAATTACTAAGAAGAAAACCAATAGGTAACATGATGGAAGAATTTAATGATATTTTATACTCCAAAGAATTTTGCATTTCAAAAATTAGCCGTATTCAATGAACATTTAAAATAAAAATATATGGAAAAATTATATTTGCTTACGAAAAAATTACAATTGTTATTATTAGCAGAAAAAGTTTGGAAAACGATGACGTAATAAATAAAGATCACGATATAAAAGTTGACAGACAACAGTAATTTTTTATAAAAAATCAGCGATGGAACATTATTATTTATACTTTTCTACTTTTATTTATTTAAAAACAAACAATACAATGTCTAGCAATATATAATAATCAAACATTCTGTAGTTGTAATATCGTTAAAAGCGAATAGAATTCGGACACATTTCGTGAAGTCTCTTTTAACGACAAATAGGGACTAGTGTAATCGATGTTATTGCAAATTCACAATTCTAAGACACTTTGAATCAGCTAGGATCGCCTTTAACTCATCGTTTACAAAAGTAAAGAGTTTTTTTAGCTATTTTACTACCACAAAGTATTGTAAAATAATCGACATGACTATGAGATTGCTGATGTAGATAGGAGCTGCCTTAGACACGTACGATATGCCGTATATGATAACAGTGGTCGTCACGGTAGTCCAGAATAGAGCGATTGCTAAAATGGTCATCGTTACATTCGATGAGGAATTTTTTTGTACAAGCTGAAATCGATAAGTATCGCGGTCTTTTTAATATGATGAATTTTATTAATTATCGACAAGGCTTTCTTCCGATAAACAATAAATGTCAACAAAGCCAGCATACTAGTAAGCAGTATCCGGCACGCTATTTAATGTTTTCTCAAATTAATTTTTTGTTGTAATGTCTGTAGAAATAACGTATATTGCAGATATTCGATATCAATAGGACGACGAAAAAAGTCCATGAACTGTTCCTAGTTTTGAGTGTGTACACAGATCGATTTTACTTTCATCGACTTTTACGGGCGCTATGCCGACTATTTGGAAATAACAAAATAGGTATTTTTTTATTACTTCCTCTCTGATCATTTTTAAGTCTTCAGTTTTCACAATTTATGCCAGTACTTTATTATTTTTCATCCTAGAATAACTTTTGTTGAATTTGAGCACATTAGCAGATGAGAAATAGTATCAATAAGTAACTTTAAAAAATTGGTAACGAAATTTTTAAGAATAGCAGTCAAGAATAAAAAATCTATTAGGCAAAATGGCAAACTCATTAGTTTATTGAAATTGTAAAATGATGACCAAATACGTTGTACACGTACCAACAAGCTGTAAATAGTGATTAACAATGAATTTCTTGAAATTAAAATGTATAATTAAAAAATACGTACTGACGTTAATAAAGACTGGTCTAAAGAAAATAATTTGAAAACCTTAAACTCCACATTACTATTTACTATATAGTACGAGAATTGGCTCAACTAAAACAAATACTTTTCAATTATTATTACAATATACATATGGCACACTGAAAGGTTTATACCTTCTTTATCATATCTTGATCTACTACACCATCGGCTAAGAAATCATTCACAATTTTCCCAGTTTGCTTGCTCTGTAAAATTTGATAACTGATTATTAAATTTCGAATACTTTTGTAGTTATTAAATGGGTTTATTAAATCGGTTAAATATTAACAAAAATTTATTAATGGACATGTTGCGAGAGATATAATTAAAAAGGGACTGAATCGTGTAAAATCCAAATCTTTAAACACGATTTGTATTTGAAATTTAATAAAGGAATATCTCATTTGCAAAAACAATATTTCGATCTTAACAGTATTACATGTACAGCATATAGAATGTTTCAAACTGTGTAATGGTTATGCTATGCTTAAGATATTTATTATTAAAATCGAATAAAATAGCGTATTACCTGATCTATGGTTGCAGTAACATATACCGTCAAAATAATTAGAATAGCAACTTGAATTAATCCATAAAACAAACTATGTAAGATAAAAATAATTATCGCCAGACCACTACGTTTAGCAGAGATCGGGTTTAAAACGTAATATGTAGAGCCGATAGTCGAAGCGTATATATTTAGAATACACAGAAGCATTGGTAGTGAATAAAATTCCGAAATGTGTTGGCAAGCGTCGCATACTAAAGCATATGAGCGTTGTAATTGCATGAGACGATTTGGTTGTTTCAGTGATCTTGCAAGTTCGTCGTTTATCAGACCGAACATTTTCTCAAGATAATTCAAGACGATACTGTATTGCATCACTGACATACTAGTTATAAAGATACAGCTGTAAATGGGTGCAGTCATGTAGACATATCTAAAACCATGTAACCAAATTGTCGTTGCCATTACGGACCATATGGACCAGATTATAACTAATATCATTATGACATCTCGAATGGCAACTTTTTCGTACAATGAGAGTTTTTGACTGAATCCTGATATTGAATTTCTTATCTAACTGATTTTGTTAACGATGACTATTGATTTCGCTTCTCGCAATATAAATGTCAAAAGAATGCAAATAGCGGCCATAGTCGTTAAAATGTCAAGCGAACAGTCGAATAATTTCTCAAAAGAAGTTCTTGTTTTCAAATCATAATTATTATAGAGATATAGAATACTTGAAAATGTTGATAAAGTTACATAACTTAGTAGCAGTAGATTGTAAGTTATTCCAAATTTAGAGTGTGATATGATGTAATGAGTAGTCGGATGAATTCTTTTGTTTATATCTTTATGGAAAGTCATTGTCGCCATTCCAAGAAACTTAAAATAGTAAAATAAACTTTTGACAAACATATCGACTGTAGAATTTCCACAGTACATGTTCACGTTGATTTGTTTTGTTTCTATTACATTTTTTTAATTAAAACGATCTCTCAGAAGTAAAATACTATTGAGCCATTGAAACTGCGAATATGTAATGACGTACACGTCATATAATCTGTAGCCTGAGGTATTAATACTTTTTTTAATTTTAGGGCCTTTTGCCAAGTCCAAGAATCTTACTAATGTCAGTATGTCTTTTTGTAAAGAGAAGAAATCAAATACATTCTATTCAAATAGCGTTGTTACATAATCGAAGAATTGCAATAGTAGTCCTATGTTTCTAAATATTCTAAACAAAACGAATAACACAGTATCTATTAGCAATACTTTATAAAAATGTATAACAGAATTCAACGAATTGAACTATTCAGTAATTGAAATACGTTAAGTCAACGAAAGTAATTACGGTAATGACAAGAGACTATCTATTTTAACAATTCTAAATAGATTATGTGATTTAGTACAAATGTGGAGTAATGAAATGGTGCGTAATAAATTGCTTAATGCCTTCTTAAAACTTATCAACTTGACGTACGTACATCCATTATTGATTAGTAAAAAAGTACATTTATCATTGTCAATGAACAATATTCAATGACAGTGTCACTTTGTTCAGCTAGAATTTGATCTTTATCAATGGCTAATGTAACAGTAACATGATTTTATCAAAAATCCTGCATAGGGAGCCTTTTTTGCAGTGCACGTTTTAGTACTTTAAGCTAGTTAGTCTGGCAACCGTAAAATTCGAAGTCAATTTGAAGAAACGTAACTGCATCGTACTAATTCATTTTTATTATTCAAATGCTAGAAATTTTTACAACGTAGCATAGCTCGTTCTCCTTATTTTATCTAATATTACCTTGGTATTTTATTTTTGTACAACGACCATACAAAATTTATATTTCAAAAGATTTGCGACGGTTCTCAGGACACCTTAACTTTTTTAACAGCAATTATCATTCGACATGTTCGTCCTCAAACCTATTCAATTTTTTAAAGTAATTTATGATGGTAAATGCTGAAATATTTCATAAAAATTTTATTCAAAGTAATATTTTAAAAAACATCACAACACAAATAATAAAACTTGTCTTAATCAACTATCTTAAGATGCATTATAATACTGTATCATACACACTCGATTAGTAAATAACACCACCAATTATTATAAAAGAAAAAGAAAGTAGCTTTATTAACAAAACTTAAAATAATCCAATAACCTGTATAGTTGAATCAATTTTGCAATTGTCTAGTTCATGCCGATGTCGAATTCACAATGTACAAGTTATTTACCCTGGATCAATCTTATTAATGTCGATACTCAGTAACTTAATAGTTTTCAAAATTTTTCTCTTAATTATACATAATTTTCAGATTATTCGTACTATACAACATATCTAGTAATAATTTTACAATTTCAAATAAATAACTGGATCTATTGACTTTTTTTTATCACAAATTGCAATAAGTTTTAAGTACGTTATATATTTATATGTTAAATAAAATGTTGAAAGTTAAACTACATACTTTCAGTCATATTTAATTTTTTTTATGTTCAAAATATTTCATACCAATGAAATATATTTCAATTAATGATATTTTACAAAATTAAAATAACTTATGAATATAATAACCCAAGTCTTATTAATTTTAATTATCATACAGTATAGATTTCAATTGAATCAAGAAGCATTACATGAGGATTTTTTATAAAAACATTTTTTATAAAACCTGGATGAAATTATTTCATTTTACATATTGTATTTAAAAACAAGAGACCACTCAGTAATATCCATAAAATCATTTAATAAACACAGCAATGCGGCAAATCACCCAGAACTATTTGACAAAGATGTTGAAAAATCTTCTTAGATTTTAATGTAGGAGAAATTACTTTAAACTGACTTGGATTCTTCTGTTTGAAATTGCAAAATAATTACTAGATATGTCATAACTGAACCTATAATCTGATAATACATAAATATCAACAAAAAATGGAATTCCGAGATTTTTGTTACGTACCGACAGCAATATTGATTCATCTAATGAAAACAAATTGTATACAGCGAAATTCATATCCTTTTGCAATAAATAAATTGAAAAATTATTCACCTGAAAAAGATATTTTTCACTTCTTATAATTGGCTGTGTTATACACTTAAAAAAATTTTAATGGTACCTACTTTTTTAATAACACTTTCATCTTCAATATTGTCTAAACTATCATTCAGGATATCTCTTAACTTTTTACTCTGAAATCAATTGTTTAGTGCTATAATGTTACAATACTCGTAATAGCATGAAAACCTAATGTGATGTAACATCAAATTGCTTAGAATACCTCTTTAACAGTCATTGTAGCAGTATTCATAAGTATTTTTAATGAAACTGCATATAAAAGTAAAAAGAAGATGCAGTGGATAGAGTCAGCCCGTGATACTGGATATCTTCCGTGAACGATTGGTATCAAGATATAATAACCAAAGAGGACCGACGTTACAAATACATAGAGAATACCGAGCAGTATCAACTGAGAATAAAAGTTTGACACATCCTGCGAGAATTTGAAAATTGACGTGTGTAAATTTCTTAAATATGTCAACTTATTGATTTCGTATTGCATTTTTTTGCTATGTATGAATGAAATTCCTGACACAGGATTTGCATTGTTTAATAGTTTCGACAAATATTGATTGATGTAATATAACATTTCCTTAATCAAATTTAATATGATACTGTACTGCATAAAAATGCTATTGATTATTGTGTTGCATAAATATATTGAAATATTGTACAAGTTAAGATCCCAGTCACCTACGACCGAGGTAATTATAAGTAAAAACCACGTAAAAGTATTGGCAAGAAAAATATTTTTCACTGCGCTGAGAAGCGAAAAATTTTTGTCGTTCAATGCTAATATTGACTGTCCTATAATTTTAAAGTCATTTACTAATGTGATGGTCCTTTTTTGTTGAATACTGAATACCAGTAAAATATATATGGCCGAAAATACTGTAAAAGAGTCATGCATAACATTGATAGTTTTTTCAAATTTTATCTTCCCGCCATATTCAGTTTCGCACAAAAACTTGATAGTGAAGTATTTGAGTGTTATTAGAATACATATGAGCAATGCATTGTACACTATACCACTTCTGGAATATGTTAAACTGCCTGTATAACGTTTCTTGCTGTTAACATTTATTGAATTTGTTCGAAATGCCATTGTTGCGACACCACACATTTTGAAAAAATAAAAAAGTACAAGAACTTCGTACTTTGCCAAATAATCTTTGAAGTACATTTTTTATTAGGAAAACAACTTGCTATTAATGATATGTGAATGGTTTCTAGCATACTAATGCTGCATTATACAATCTCTTATTGTCTCTCACTGTTAACCTGAGTAATTTTATTGATTTAACATAATTAATTTATTTTACGATAGCGCGTTATTAATTAGTTGATTGTGTATAATAATGATTGCATTTCCAATACTTAAATATCATTCATTTGTTAAAATTCTCATATATCGCCTTGAGAACGATAAATTGTTTGTATTAAACATTAATTTTATCATATAATATCTCGTAATACGTTTATACTATTGAAATTTAAACTTATGAAAATTTTTACTATATTCTAATAAATATCCAAACCTAATTTATTACTGATCATTGCACCTGATAGTGTTCGGCTGAAATTGTAGAATAGTATCGCTAAATAAGTTGTTATCGATCTCAGATTCTGAAAATAGAAAAAATAATTAATTTTTTTTCGTAATTATAATTGTAGTTATACAAACAGACATCAATAATGATTCAGATGATGCAAGGAAACCAAAAATAATGAACTTTAATGCATGATGATGCAAAAAGTTAAAAAGTTTCTTCAGTTAAATTGTAAAATACAAAGTTATTTTTTCGCATCACGTAACAGCATTTTAAGTTATATCACAAGCAAAAATCATTTTTACAATGAACGATTGTAAAACGCTTCTTAAACATTTTTTCATTACAATACAAGTCTTTTAACTTTAAAAATTATGTTACATCAAGTGAATTTAATTATTGCTGAAAATGTAAATATTTTGTTTAATCTTCTATGATGAGTAGTGAAATATGAGTGTATAGCAGTGGTTACAAATATAATGCTAAATGATTGCAATACATCAAATGCTCATTCAAATAGTGCATTCTGTTAAATATTTAATCGAAGTTTAAAGTGTAAGCTACCGGGTGTGGCGGTTAATAATTCTTAATTTTTTGTAAAAAAAACACGTCATTCAGGAGAAAAGTAGAAAAATCGTTTATTCAAAGTATTCTCCATCGTTTGATACACATTTTGTCCACCTATCTGGCAAGTCATGGATATCCTTCCAAAAAAAATGTTCATCCTTTGAGGCGATCCATTCAGCAAGCCATTTTTCGACATCTTCGTAGTTCTTGAAGCTTTGCATAGAGAGCGCGTGGGCCATCGATGAAAACAGATGGCAATTGGATGGGGCCAAGTCCGGTGAGTATGGCGGGTGGGCCAAGAGTTCCCAGCCAAACGTAGAAATGATTTCTTTAACCGTTTTCGCCTGTATGTGCGGGAGCGTTGTCGTGCTGTAAAATTACCTTCGCGTGCCTTGAAGTCCATTCCGGTCGCTTTTCGTCCAATGCATGCTCCAATTTGATCATTTGTTCACGGTAGCGCAAGGTGTTAACTGTTTCACCCGGTTTCAAGAGCTCATGGTACACAACCCCCTTTTGATCCCACCAGATGCACAACAATGTCTTTTTTCCGAAGCGATTTGATCTTGCGGTGGAAGTTGACGGTTGACCTGGATCTACCCATGATTTTCTACGTTTGTGGTTCTCGAAGTAGATTCATTTCTCATCTCCAGTCACGATTTGATGCAAAAAACTTTTCCGTTCATGTCGAGAAAGCAAAATTTTGGACACTGTTTTTCGCTTTTCCATCTGTCTGCTGTTCAGCTGATGAGGTACCCATTTTCCAGTCTTCTGAATCTTTCCCATGGCATGCAGACGATCACATATCGTTCGGCGACTAACGTTTAACTTCTCTGCCAGTTGTCGTTGAGTTTGCGTGTCGTCTTCGTCCAATAATGCTTGCAATTCGGCATCCTCAAATTTTTTTGGTTGACCTGGACGTTCTTTGTCTTTCAAATCAAAATCTCCACTTTTAAATCGTCTAAACCACCTCACGCAAGCGTCTTGCGTTGGGACATTATCACCATAAGTTTCTACTAAAATTCGTCGGCTCTCACTCGCGTTTTTCTTTTGGTTAAACAAAAATAGCAACACGTGCCGCAAATGCTCTTTATTCGGCTCATAACTTGTCATTTTTAAAGCACGAAACAATACTGATAAACTAACTCGAAACAGTCCAAACTACTACGTTGTTTTGGTGAGCACCGACAGCAATAAAATGACATAAGCCATACGACTGCAAAGCGGAACCAACAGGCAGCGCCACCTCTGAGCTAAATTAAGAATTATTAACCGCCACACCTGGTATAGTAATTAATAATGAAGCCAATCGAAATAGTATTGTATACCAAAGCTATATAGTTAATAGAGTTAATAGAGTATTCAAACTGAGCAATATAATTATTACATGCCTTTCTTACAGTAGATGTTACTGACATCAATAAATTTAATATTAATCTGTAATATTTGAATGCGATTTAATAAAATGAAATGGACTATGAAATTATTTTAGATAACTAATATTATTAGTTAATGATGTAAACAGTTAAAGCTTGTTAGTTAGAATGCATTCTTTTTCATCAATAAATATTTACAACACATCATCCACGATGCGACGTAAAAGAATACAAATAATACAATATTTTCACGGAAAGAACATTTTTTTTTCAATGTTGAGGTACTTGATCATTTCCATGAAATTGCAATAATATTACCAAATAAGTAACTATTGATTCTCCAATCTACAATAAATGTATAATGTTCAGGTTTTGAGATACTTTATAGTGGCTTTTTTATATGATTGACATCGTACTTACAGACATTAACAGCGGTTCATTTAATGAAAACAAATTAAATACTGTGAAATTTATTTTCTTATGTAGTAAGTAATGTGAAAATTGGTTCAACTATAAATAGAATGATCACATACAATATTTATTTTGGTACGTTTGAAATAATGTATTTCTATTATTTATTTACCTTATTAACGCCTTCTTGACTTATAAAGTTTAAGTTCAGTTTATTTATTATTTCTCCAGTTTCGTGATTCTAAAATTACAGATAAAATGAGGTCCATTATTTCTCAGCGATTCGACTTTTTTTTAAATTACCTTTTTGATGATTGCGCTCATGCTCTTTGTTAAAATGATTAAAAATACTAAATAATGAATTACAATAAATAAGCAATGAAAATAGCCTTTAATACCAGTTAAATTATTTTTTCCCGTTACAATCGGTAACACTAAGTAGTAAGATGAAAAAATAAAAAGAATAAAACCTTGAGATATGCAAAGTAGCATTGATGTAGAATAAAGATTAGCAATATTTTGAGATATGTCGCACAGTAGAATATAGAAATCTCGAAGTTCACTAAATTTGTCTATCCAATTTTTTCCAGTTTGACTTCCAGTAGTAACATTGAGCGTTTTAGAAAAGCCTGCATTTAAGATTTCAAAATGATCTCGCAAGATATTTAAGACTAAACTATACTCCGCTAGAACGTTATTAATAATCGTAATACATACATAAATTGTAAAATTATGAAACAACACGTCGGTGTCTACTGTGAAAAATGATATGACCAGAAAAATCAAAGTCAAGAATGGAATAATTAAAAAGGTTTTTTTAGCATTCTTATCTGTGGACAAAATCTCATTATCCATTTTAATATTAATCAGTAGAATAAGATCTTTTAATTTATTGCCAATTATAACAGTTTTTTTGTGATTCAAACAAAATATTGCTAAAATTAAAAATGCAGTCAAACAAATGTCGATCGAAGCTACAACATCGATTGTTTTTTCAAAGATAATTTTATGTTGTTGAAATAAGAATTTTTGTATGCTGTAATAATTAGCAGTAATAACTGAACACATTAGAATTATGTTGTAGAATAAACCAAAATTAGAGTTCTCAAAGAAAATTTTCAACGTTTCTTTACGTTTTATAGAGTACAGATTTAGCTTTACTGTTAATAGGCCAAAAATTTTGAAAAAGTAATATACATATTTTAAAAATATTGTATCTTTGTTTTTCAAGTTTATAGTCAACATTATTTAAATAATTATAGTTCTGAAAGTTTATTTCAATTCTGTAAAAGTGTTACAAATTATCTCTTGAATTGTTTGATAAAAAGTGTTTCAGCGTATACGTAATAAAATTCATCACGGGAAATGGAATGATGATTGAGTTACATATTACTTAGTATGATTGAGTTGTCTGTTGAGAAAGTTGCTTGTAAAAACATGATCTTCATCATCTAATTTTTACAGCCTCGATAAATATTACCTTTCAAGAATAACCTAACATTCTGTATTATTAATAAATTTTTTCACAAAACATCTTTATTTAACACAATAATTCTCACAACGTTTTGAAAGTAAAAAAATAATCTTCATTGATATGGTAAGCTTTGGAAGTGAATATAGTTCGAACAAATAAGAAACATGTTATAACAAATTTGTAGTTTACGTTTTCAAAGCTACACTCACCTAAATATTTGTGTTCATTAAAATTTCAATTAAGCTATACACAGTTTCTTCAAGGAAGTAAAAAAAAATTTTCAAACGCGTATTATTTTTAGTGTATAGCATTATGATAAAGTGGAATTTTTTTCATGAAATTGCAAGAGTATTACCATATACGTAGTAATTGAACCTACTATCTGCAAATAATTTTATAAATAATAAAAGAAATCAATTATTCTTATTTAATACGCGCTACATACCGACATAATTAAGCTTCCATCAAGTAGAAATAGTCCAGCAGCAGAGAATTCAAGGTTCTGATGAAGTAGATATTCAGAAAATTGATTTAGCTTTAAAGAAATAAAGATAAAAATCAAATAGTGTTGCAAATTGATTTTTCAAGCATAATGTTTCATTAAAGTTAGTACCTTGTTTGTAATTTGATCATCTATCAAACTTCCAATCAACTTGTTGACAACTTTACCAGTTCGTTTGCTCTGTAAATTTCCAACTACCAATTAGATTGATAGGATAATAATTCACTTTATATAATCGAAGATATTCACATTTTTGCAATGTATACTGGATAAAGTATTTTGAAATTGAATTTAAAAACGATATATTTACCTCTGTAACAACTGCACAAGTAGAGTTGATGAGCAAATATAAACTCGTTATTCCCTGGATAATATGAAATATACAGTGAATTATAATACTCGTCGGCAGTGATTCGTTATTGAACAATAGAGATCTTGCTACATAGTAAGCGAACAAAATAAGCGTGAGAAATATATACAAAGTGCAGAATAGTATAGGTTTTGAATAAAAGTCTTCAATATCTTCACACACTTCGCACAGCGACATATGCAAACATCTCACGCGAGACAGTTTAGTCATTTTCATGTTGTATTTATCAAGGACACATTCAACTGTCTTTGCTAACATTATTTTGTTGAGTTCGTTGTTAATGCTTTCAAATAATTTTCTGACGAAATCAAGGATCAGGCTATACTGGAGCATCATGAGCGCGATGGTAATGTCGCAAAGATATGCGGCAATGTAATACATTATTATATCGAAATAATCGAAATATTGATTCTTGGGTGTCAAAAGTAGTTTAGGTAGCCAGGCGATTAAATTAGCTGTACAGATTTTTTTTAAACTCTTACTAACTATATCTTTTTCATTATTCATTAATATATCGTTCAAATATTTAAGCTTGTTAACAATGTAGATTCCTTTATCTTGGTAAAAATAAAATATAGCAATGATGACCGTAACAGCTAAAGCACCAATTACTGTGCGGACGCTAGCGATAGCTTTGTCGAGGAGCGTAGTTCTATTGTCGGTTATCGAAATTCTTACGGCATTACCATTCGTCACAATCACGCAAATCATAAGAATGATACTTATAACATGACTGAATTTCCAGCGGGTAATAGTCTTTTTTGGGCAATATACCAGCGAAGCCAATCCAAAACATCTGAACAAATAAAAAAGAAATTTAGCGAATGGCGTGTTATTCATTTATATGTATTGTCTGACTCAATCAAGGTTCAGACTACTTGCGGTAAGGAATGGAGTGCGCGATAACTGTTGCGCTCAACTCTTAAGTGTGCATATATCAAGAATCGATTTACATTCATCGAGTTGATTACATGTGCTCCGTTTGATTAATGTATTAAACAATAGTTTTTTCACACTTAATATTATTTTTGTAGTTACACTTTTCTGTAAAGTAGAATTCAAGATTTCACAATACAATATACAAAAATTGTATTTTGAATGACTTACACCCAAATGCTAATATAATTTTATGAACAAAATCTTTTTTATTCAATACATCTTTTATTTAAAATTAAGTAACATGATAATAATCTTGTTATAGCATATTCATTGTGTGTGACAAATCAATTCAAAATAGGATTTCGCTTATCTTCCATCATGTTGAACCAAAATTTATCAAATGAACTATTGCGTATATGAAAATCTTACCGATTTAAAACTGCAATCGCGCATACTTTGAAGCAATAAAACATAACTTTCCAGTATCAAATTTTCTTGAATGTGTTGCTTAACATTGTACAATTAATTTATATTGTGCTTTTTATGATTGAAAGTTTCTTATAACGGACTTTCTATCATACAGTGTCCTACATTGAGAAACATAACTCAAATAGCTGATGATTGATTGGCAATCGATAAAATAGAAAGTGCAGATAAATTTCTCTTCATACCTATTATCATTTACTAAAAATATTTATCTTCATATTTTTAAATAAAAAACTTAAAATAAAAACTTGCCGACTTCAATAATGTTCCATGCGACAAGAAGAGCAAGTAATTTACAAATTGGTTTAGCTTTATCACATAAACAATATTTGTTGTTGAGCTGAAGTTTCCAATTTCATTTAGATAATACGCTTACCTTTATCGCTAGCTTATCTTCATATGCATCATCGATTCATTTATTAACTAATTTTCTAATGTTATTATTCTACAAAAATTTTTTGCATTGAAGTAGGACATGGACATGGACATTAAAGATTGTGCTAAAATTAATTGAAACATAAAATATAAATGTCTTTATCCTGCATATATAATTTTTTAATAATTAAGAGTGGGTAGTTACATTTTTGCTTAAACTTTGAAAAATATAGAAAGCTAGAATTGTTTTTCATAATTTATTTTTGACGTGTAGATTTGACATTTTAATCTGTTTTGGTAAAAATGTTTTTCATCACTTTTGAACTTCGTTGGTTGAAAAAACTAATACTTTTCTGATGCACAATATTCATTATTAAAATATTCACAGAATAATTTTTAACAGAAAAGGTTATATATTTATGTTTTTAAATTAATTAGTTATTTTTATTTTGTTTTCTTATTTAATTTTATAATCGAACTGAATATGCTAAAATGTATTATGAACCTATTTTCAGATCACTACAATTTTTAAGACTGGGTTAAAATTTTTCAACAATATACCTTTCTTTTAATAATCTGATAATATTAATATTCTCAACTATTCAAAATATTCTTCAAATCAAATAATTTCATCGACAACACCCGACGCTGATCTTACGAGTATACGCAGAGCAATCACTCCGCAAATCAATTGATCAAAGCAATAAGCTATAGTCAATTGGAAAGCATTAACATTTTTTCTGTCAATCAATACTTGATTATGAAATAAGCATAGAGTGTGAGAATAGCAAAGATATACAAAATAAAAAATATTATTGGTTTCGAATGGCATTTTGCCGAATCATCGCACACTTCACACACCAAAAAATGCACGTGATTTATATGAGAGAATATGTTTATTTTTTAAAGATTTTTATCAAATAGAGATTAAACTGTTCGTCGAGACAGCATTTTTTTGAAATTATCATAGACGGACTTTAATAGCTTCTGAATAATACTAAGGATAATACTATATTGAAGTATGATAGCGGTCATGATAACATCACACGTTAACGAAGTGTAAAGTAAACTATCAACATGAACAATTTTGCACTCATGTAATAATACTAAAATTGTAAAGATACTAAAATAATATTGAGAATCATTTCATAAAAATAAATTTTATCGACACGTTAGCTGTTACACGTTACTCATTACTTGTTAATGCATAAGAATCGATTTGGCACTCGTATTAAATAAAACTATTATAATCTTTTTTCTATTATTTAATGTGATAAAAATAAGCTTTCTTACCAATAAATTTGAGAAAATATTCAATGAATTCTTCTTATTTTATGTAAGAAAGACTTAATAATCTGATAGTGTCAACATATTTATTGATTATGCGAATAGCATTGTTAATATATTTGAGTATTAACCATTTATTTTCTCAAAAAGAGCTTACTTATGCAAATTTGAAAAGTCATTAACTTGAATTTTGATGTTGAAACTGAAGAAGAATCACCATATATGTTGTAATTGAACCAATAACCTGTAAAGATTTCATTCAAATCATTTAATAAATCACTTTTCATCATTATCTTATTATTCACAATTATTTCTAGTAATGATATGCTGCAAGTGTCAATTTACCGACATCAATAAAGACCCGTCAAGGCTGAGGAGACCAGCCGTGGAAAATTTTACATTTTGATGTAGTAGACATGTAGAAAATTGATGCAGCTATTATGAAAGGTAAGTTTGAAAAGTTTGTAAGCAAATTGGCCATTTAAATAATAAATGTTTATAACATAATCAAAGTTGCTACCGTTATAGTTATTTGTTTGTTGTATGATTTTTCCAACCATTTATTCACAATTTTCCTTATACGTTTGCTCTATAACCATTATAACGTAAATTAAAATATAATTACTTAAAAATATCGATAAACTTTGAGAATGCGTAACTAAATAACCTTTTTTTCTAATATTGGGGCACTCACCTCTTTGATAACACTGGAAGTAGTTTTGGTAAAATAGTATAAGATAGCTAATTCATGAATCAATGTCGCTAAACAGCGTAATAGAAGGTTCAATGTCAACTCGGTCGTGTGAAAAATCAAAGGCTTGATAACATAATAGGAAGCGAGAATAAGAGTTACGAAAATAAATAAAGTACTCGAGAGTACGGGTATCGAATAAAATTCATTCAAATCTTCGCACATCTCGATGAGCAACGAATGTTGTCTAAATAGCCTCGAAAATTGATCTTTCGTAGGATTTTTTAATTGCCTTACGTCGTTCAAGTGATTATTAACAGTCTCGAATAACTGTTTGATGAAGTTTAAAATGATGATGTATTGAAAAATCGTACCTTTGACAATCGCTTCACAAATATAAGTGACAATGTAGTATACAGCAATTTCATAATTATTCAAATTTTCAATGGGTAAAGATAGAAGCATAGGTAGCCAAGACAACATAATGAGGATGTAAGTATTCTTAACGAATTTCTTTGCTGTATCGTTATAGCTGCTGCATAGTAAATCGTGTAGATCTTTTAATCTGTTGGCGATGTTTACTATGTGATTTTGATGGTGAATGAAGGATAAAAGTATTATAATACCTATCGAACCACTAATGGTTTTGTATCCGATGTTAATGACACTGTCGAAAACAATCATGGCTCTTTCGTTTACTGATAGTTTGATGGCAACGTAACTCATTGCTAATATACAAGTTATCAGGATGGTATTGTAAAAAATACCTGCAATAGATCGATGAAATTGCTTTTTTTCACGGTAAGTTATCGGGGCAAGGCCAAGACTTTTAAATAAATAATAGGTAAATCTTACGAGGTCTGAACAAACCATTTTTTTAAATCCTTTTAAGCCTGGTTTTCTGGCTCAACATTGGTGAAAACTAATTACAAGTGTAGTGTGCGAATATTAAAAGATATTGAATTCATAGGATAGATCCATCATAATCCTTGTTCTATACTTTATTATGTATTGTACATTAATAAAGTTTATTTGACGTTTGATATTAATGATGTCATTTTGTAACCTAATATTTTGTTACTGATGAATACAATTTTTGAGGATGTTTTTTCACTAATTACTTTCTATCCTTACTTTGCAACTGTAAAAGTATCACTATGTAAGTTGTAATAGATCCTACGATCTGAAAGAAAAAAAAATTACTCAGTAAAACATGTTGACTTTGTATTCTTTCATAAATTAATTACAAACGCAAGTTTGCACATTCTTTATTTCTCTTACCGACATTAACAGAGTGCCATCAAATAAAAATAGTCCACAAGCGGAAAATTGTAAATTCTGATGTAGCAGATAAATTGAAAATTTATGGAGCTTAATTGATGAATAAAAGAAATGTAACAGTTAGTTTGTAATTCGATGACTACTTGACACCAATTTCAATGTTTTACCTTCGTGGTTATTTGTTTGCCATTCACATTTCCCATCCACTTATAAATAATTTTTCCAGTACGTTTATTCTGTTTAAGAAACAAGAACAAATATTGTGTTATGGATTGATAAAAGTAGTCGAATGATAATATTACATTAACCCGCACCTCATTAACAACACTAGAACTTGAGCTAATAAGTATATAAATAGCAATGAGATCGCGAATCACATGAGTCAAACCGTAAGTTACGATAGTTTGATACATCGGACCCCGATCAAAAAGTAAAAATTTCACCGTAAAGTAGGAGCATAGCACAAGATCGACAAACTCATACAAAACACTCAGCAACATGGGTACTGAGTAAAACTTGTCCAACTGCTCGCAAAATTCGTATAAGGCGAAATGAACATCCCTGGCGCATGATATTTGTGTGCTCTTCAACTGCAAGCTCTGCAGCAAACAACATCTGTCAATGTTATTATTAATTATCTCGAATAATTGCTTGACGAATCTCAAAACGAAACTGTATTGAAGCATAGCACCGGTAATAATTGCGTCGGCTGCGTAGGGGCCAACACTGTAGAGCAACAGCTCAAATCGAAACATATTCGATATGAATGGGACGATCAGCAGCAGCAACCAAGCGAAGAAGCTCAAGATGCAAATTTCTTTAAAGATTTTCGTTAATAAATACATCTCGCTGGCAATCAACAACTCGTAAAGCGTCTTCAATTTGTTAGCTAAGTTAACGCTTCTCTCTCGTTGCAGGCAAAAAGTAATTAGAATCAAAATACTGCAGACGGTGCCGATGGTGTCGCGCGAACTGTCGACAATACGATCAAATTGCACTACGCGGTTATTTTCGAAGGATACCTTGATGGCGTAGCCATTCGTTGCGATCAAGCATTTCATCAGTACCGCGCTGTAAAGAAGACCATATTTCGAGCTACGAAAATGCTTTTTGGGGCCATATGTTAATGGCGCTAGACCGAGACATTTGAACAGGTAGTAAAGAAATTTAGCCAGCGTTGAGTCGGACATTTCTCAAGCTACTGCAACTTATTTCCCGTAGGACAATTGTAGGTTTAATTGAATTAGAAGCAATATATTAATAATAACGCGATGGAGTACTTGAGTAATAACAGCCTTATTTACGTCAGTGACTTTTAGTCATGTTTTAGTTTGCTATTGATCATTATCAGTACATTTATGCAGTTATTTCGCTAATTTTTCATATTATTCATATATAAATAGTTCTTAATTCATCGCTATGTCATCGGTAGTATAAATTTTTACTTTCATGAGATGTTCTTCACTTCATTCAACTCTCGTTTGAAATGAATAATAAGTATTATTTAAATTAATATAAAATTTGTTCTTTGTAAGCAAATACTTAATTTAGAGTTGTATCCGATAGGTCTTGGTTCTTTTCGACGAGAGAAACAGAGAAAAAGAATGCAATCATAGGACCTAAGCCTATACGGTATTATATCCTAAATAGAAACGAGCATCTTTCTTGTTTCAGGAAAATTCGGAATCTTGAGTACAGATGTTGAACCTCCTTTTCTTTAAGGGAAATAAAAGTGGACCATGTTTTATTTTAGTTGCGTTAAAATAAAAAAAATTAATATGGCTTACCGTTGCAGCAAATTTTATATAATTTATATATATAAAATATTTTTAAAGTATTTTAATACTGTCACTCTACATAAAATAAGCGTATCGAAACTTTATCAGGGATTATCCTGAATAGTAATTTTTAGTTATGGAATTGGCCGCTTGACTGAAGTATTTATAAATACTAAAAAAAAATCAGGATTTAGATAATATGATGATTATACCGACTTTGAGATCGAGCTATCAAATTCGCTATCTGCTTCGCTCGCCATTTTGATGCAAAGATTTTGTAATTGAAAATGTATCAAAAATGACAATGACAATTTGTGCGGCGCTCTAGATATCAATAGTCGTCGTTCGCTGGGTATAAAATTAACGTATTTTGGTATTTTATTTTGGTTTTTCAATTCTCATATTTCTCAAAAATTAGTACTGTGTTGATATATTGTGGTTAAGATTCGTCAATTTCATTGTAGGAAATGGCCGGTGTAACGAAAAATTTGTAGTAAATAATTAAATGAAAATGTTTTGATTCGTTTTCATTTGCGTTTGTTTCCAAAATCTTGTACTTATGTCACGACTTATACTTTTAGAATTTATGTCTATAGTTTATCATTACTGCTCAGTAAGTGCAATTAAACATTTATAGTTTTTACGTGTTACACGTTTGCAACTAAAATATTTTTAGCGATATTCAAGTCACTAATACTTCTAAGACCATTCTCAAAAGATGGATTTTTTTCAGTTGTCTATCATTTTCATATTTTTCGTTTATTTTATCCGATATTCAATTGGAGGATCAATTAGTTAATAATATTATTCTAGATATCGAAAGAAATATTACATTGGATAGATCACTTTTAATATTATAAATTATTTTCAGATTGCACTGCGAAAATGTTAGATACTAAAGTCAAGCTAAAAATTCAGTATGATCGAAATGAGCTTGGCATATACAAATACAACAATAAAAAATTAGTCAATATTTTGTTACCTTTCGTGAATGTTACGTACAGCGGGACGCATCCAGACATAAAATCACTACCATTAATGATGCACACAAGTATTGAAGGTTATGCTGTTCTCACGGTAATTAAAGCAAGGATGTTAAACTTTTTGCTCCGAACAAAGATTTAACGTTTCAATTGCACAGGAAGATAACAGACTTAATGAGTGCAAATTGACATTACAGACAAACTCGATGTACTCGTGAGTATAAAATGAAATATTGTACTGTGGACCGATTAAACCATTGAAATCGAATTTTTAACAGCGGAAAATTTTGCCTTGAAATCCAACGCGACTTATTTTCCTCGGGGTACTCGTGCTACAGCGAGATGTTATGCAATCAAGTTAGCAGGATAACTCAAGACGATGAACGGCGCGCCAATTTAAGCGCACATGATTTTGGAGAAAACGCCGTTTATTACAATTTAATCAGCCAACGTTATCCAACTATTCGATTGGACAGGAAGGAAAATAATTATTCGCTCAGCACGATTTCCACTAGGGATTCTGATTTACAGGTTTCTTTGCTATATTCGACCGCACGTTCTCTGATTTATTTCAATCGATGTTTGCTTTTGTAATTTTCAGAATGGGCTCAATGCTCTTGTAGATTTTCTCCTCATTGTAGGGGTGTCGTATATTTCTTCGAATAAGTTAGGAATAATTAATCTACCAGACCAATACAGCAATTTGACCTTTTTTCCGGCTAAACAGGGATATTTTCATATGACTGGTGGCACGTTCGGGTAGTGTATCACTTCGTTCAGTGAATGACTCGTAGTTATTTCTTCTTCTTTTTATCCTCAGGGATTTGACCAAAATATTGAGAACCACCCCGGTCAGAATTATCAATAAAGGATCGTGCTACTCTATAAGCATTGGATTTCAATTACCCAATATAAATATCAGTTACGATAACTACAATGTAATTACGAAATTTCGTAAAATGTAATATTTGTTAATGATTTGAGATTAATCAAGAACATTCGATTTTTAGTTCAAATATTCGATTGCACGGAAATCCGGCAAAGCTAGCATCGACGTAGACAGCATTACTTTCGACACAGAAATCACTGTAAATTACAATTCATTTCCGTGCAACATATCAGCAAGTTACATTCGTTCACAAATTCATGGATTACATTTTAAGCTATTTAATGGTGGATTTACTGACTATTTGCTCAACAAGGTAGTGAATTTTTCAATTAACATGTTTACTCGTAACATTGTTGAGTTCCTTCAAAATCTATTTGTAACTACGGTTCATGATACTTTGAAAACAATTGATTGTGAAAAATACCGACCTCGAATTTATTAGAACACTGTCAATTTCGCCAATACATTTTTTCATAAAAAAAGTCTATATAATTATACCTCATTTTTTGGAAGTAAAACGTTTTGTTTCGCATAAGTGGCTTATGCATCAACGTGAAAATTAAATGTTGAAAAAATTATGTGAAATAGAAATACAAAAATGTACCAACTTTTTCATAATAAATATGTGCATAAAAATGATGAAATACGTGCAGTTAGAAAAATATTTATTAGGATAATTTATTTTAATTACCTATAAAAACACATATGTAGGTAAGCTTGCTTATGTAGGCATCATGGAAATTTTGTATTTTTAAAAATATGATGATTAAATCCGACAGTCCTTACGTTTGCATCAGTAAAATTAAAAATTATGACATTGTAAAAGGCGAGGTTGAGTAAAATTATTCGCGTATCACAAATCAGTTTAAAGTTTATATTCAAAAATGCGATTTACACCTCGCAGCGTGCGAGTAAAAGGCCAAACTTTATATACGTATAAGGACTCGCATTGAATTAAGTACTCAGTATCTCGACACAATACGAGTTGGTTATTAGCAACTAATCTTTGAATCATTATGCGTGTGGTCCTCTCCTATGAAGAATTACTCCTGCCAAAATTTTCTATTAGTCATCAAGAATTAACCCTTTCGAAGCTGAAAACAGCGTCACGGCCACAACAGCGGAAAAAGAATGCGCTCGTGCACGTCTATATCGTTATACGACGTTTTTGATTTCGGTATTCTATGTTAATTATCATCAGAGCTCAAAAGTAAGTTCAAAATTCGATTTTGATTATTCGCATACCACAACAATTTTATAATAGGATAATTAATTTATTATCCACAATTAACATAAAATTAAAAAATTCTATACTGTCCTGGATGTATTATTTATAGTAACAGAATTAGAAAAGTTACATAAAGTTTGATCGGAATATTATTGGACGTTTATCAAATAGTAAAACTCAATTGATTAAAATAATGACTAAAAAATGAGTTTGACAAACGGATAAAAGATGCTCGGCAATATAGGTTTTGAGTACAGTTTATCTAAATCCTCGCAGATTTCTCATAGCCTTCAGTGACATCAGATATAAAAATGTATTTATCTTTGATCGAAGTCTGCGCGGGAACGTTTCCCTGCTAACCAAGTTGAGAAGAAGACTGCACTGTATTCATCACTTTCGTTTGGCAGAAATAGAAGTAAACGAGAATGATGGAAATGCTAACAGGACCTGTTATTATTAACGTATAATTGTTTACGCATTCATATTGCAATACCGAAGCCTCGGCGGATGTATCGATGTAAATGCCACTCGCATCAATTGAAAAAATTACGAGTGTCACATTGCAGAAAAGAGCTCTTGTGCCGAACCGATGAATAGTTTTGTTGTTGTTGGAATAACGGGTAAATGGTGCCAAAGTAAGACAAATGAAAGAAGTTTTATTGCTGGCAATGAGTTAGCCATTTTCAAGAGAATTGACTGCAGCCGTTTACTTTGCGGATCGACCGCTCTACTTTACTCTCTATATATAAGCTACACTTAATAAAGTAATGCCCTACGCTGTGGTTATTTATTATTCATCGAGAAATTCGAGCAGTTTTACCATTTATTTCGCACGTTATTAGTTTCATGTACAAATTCAATTATTCGCGGCCGGTTTGACGTTCAACATAGTTTTTTCTTGGAACTGCAACAGTATCACTATGTACGTCGTAATTGAACCGACGACCTGCGAACGATCATCGAAGTTAATGCTTGTGAAAGCAATATGTTGATTTGAAAATGAACAATAGAATGGATGGCTCACCGACATTAACAATCTGTCATCGATTGAAAATAGACCAGCCGCCGAAAATTTGATGTCTTGATGCATCAAATAACTAGAAAATTGGCTCACCTACATTGATCACAGAAAATAAAAACAGACGAGTTATTTGTTTCTACTGTTGAATTATATCTTTGCTTTACCATTGACATTATGCGGTCGTATCGATGATCCGATTCTATCCACTTGTTGATAATTTTTCCCGTGCGTTTACCCTACATAAAAATGAATCTCGCATACATCAATGTTTCCATAATTATTCATCAGTCGATCAGCGAATAATATAGTTCACCTCTTTAACGACATTAGATGCCGATCTCGCGAGGATGAACAGAACAGCCAACCCGCGAGCTAATCGAGTGAAACAATGAAATACGAACCTCATTCTTAACTCAGTCGTGTTAAACAATAAAGATTTGATCACGTAATAGGCGGACAGAATGAGGGTGAAAAAAATGTAGAAGATGCAAAAAAGAGCCGGTTGTGAATAAAATTCGCTAAGTTCCTCGCATGCTTCATTCAGACTCATGTGTAATTCTCTAAGATGTGCGAATTTCATTATAACGAACTGATGTTTGGCGATAACAAACTGAATCCTCGGGGTGGATGTAAGCTTGGTGAAATTTTTGTTGACTATTAAATATAGCTGTTTGAGAAAGCCAAGAAAAAGGCTGCATTGTAGCATAGAATTGCATACAATAGCGTCGCAAAAAAGTAAGGTTGTGAAGTATAGTACCGCGTGATATGATCTGACAGGTATTGTAAGAAGTAATGGTAGCCATGTGAAGAAAATCACAACGTATATCTCTTTGACGACTGTCGTAAGTAGGGCTTTTTGATGAAACGTCGACAACTCGTAAAAAACCTTAAATTTATTTGCGATATTGACCAATTGTTCTCGGCGAACGCAGTACATGGCAATGAGGATGAGGCTCGTTGCAGCACCAATTATTGTATGTATACCGTCGATTGTACGATCGAACTCCACCATTGGACTGTTTATAAGTGCGAGTTTCAAAGCGTAGCAATTCATTGCTAAAACGTAACACATAAACATCACGTTATAGAGTAAACTCTGCTTTGATCTATAAAATGACATTTTGATACTGTAGGATATGGGTACAAGACCCAGACTTTTTAAGAAATAATACACGAATTTGATCACCGCGGACTCTTTTGTTGTCATAATTGCTTGAAGCGCTTCTTCGTCTGACGATATCAAGATACGTACTACTTGTAGTATTACTAGCGGTTTCTCGCAAGTTGCGACTAAATAAAAAGTCAAGAACACAGCTGAAGGTTATATTGACTTTTTTATTTTATCTAGTATGATGAATGACCAAATGAGTATGAGATAAATTCAGTAAAAACTATTTCTTCGAACGTGAAAAAGGACTTCCTGTTTTCAGAAAGTTATTATACCAATATTTTCCATATTTACGGAATCAAATGACTTATGAATTTATCAATTTTTGCCAACTAATAAATAGAAACAAATAAAAGTAATCTTATTTTCGCAATTCCCATGTTTTAGTAGAACCAAAGTTAGTTTTCATCAAATTTTATATAGAATTGAAGTTTTAAATACATACGAACATTTAAAAAATAATTGAGTATAATTTTTCTTTGTTTTTCTTATTATTTATTCTTTTTATTCGTATTTGTAAAGTTTGATTCTCGAGTACTAAAAATCAATGAATAATCGATAAAAGCTTTTGCTACACAGATTGATTAAAATGGTTCTATGTCACGGCTATCTTCGGTCATTCTGCAATCAAACATTTTATCAGTTGGTTCATTCATTACAGACATTAAGTTTTGACTAAATCAATACTTCCAGTAATAAGATATTAATCATGATTAATTTGAAGTCAAGTGGAGTTTCGATCTTGAAACTGTAAAAGTATTACCATGTACGTTGTTATAGAGCCTATAATCTGCAAATAATTATTTTTTTGACATTGTGACATTTAAAAAAATTCATGCAGAGAAAAGTTAATTGACTTACGGACATCATTAAATTTCCATCAATAGAAAATAAACCAGCTGCCGAAAATTGAATATTTTCATGTAACAGGTAACTTGAAAATTGATTCATCTGCAGAGTTAGGAGATGACAAATGTAAATCAATAAAACTATTTGTTTTTTAAAAATCTGTAGGAAGAAAACATACTTCACCTTCGATGTTATTCGATCACATCGATCATCCATTTCTATCCACTTATTAATAATTTTTCCTGTGCGTTTGCTCTACATAAAAATAAAACTCAGATACAATAATGTTTCTACAGTGAAGTATAAAATCAGTAATTTATAAAGTTAACCTCTTCAACAAGAATAGAAGCCGATCTTGTAAGGATGAACAAAACCGTCGATCCATGAATCAGTTGGGCAAAACAATTGAAGAGAAATGTTGTGCTTAATCCAGTCTTATTAAAGAAAAACGACTTGACTACATAATACGCGCAAAGAATGAGGGTCGAGAAGACGTAAAAAATACAGAGAAGTGCTGGTAATGAGTAGAATCTGTCGAGTTCCTTGCATATTGCACTCAGGCTCATGTGTAAATTTCTCTGATGTACGAATCTCCTGATTACTAACTGATCTTTAAGGCTGACAAATTGAATTTTCGGTGTGGCTTTAAGATTAGCGAAATTGTTATTGACAATGACAAATAATTGGCTAAGGAAACTAAGAAAGAAGCTGTATTGGAGCATAACGCTGCTAACAGTTACAATGCAAAAATAGGTAGCTATGAAGTATAGTATAGCTTGATATGAGTTGATCGGTACTGTCAAAAGTAGAGATATCCAACTAAATAATACTAGCAAGCATGTTTGTTTTATAGCTGTCGTCGATAAATATTTTTGATGAAACGTCGACAACTCGTAAAGTGCCTTTAACTTGTTAGCGATTTCGACACATTTTTGGCGGTGAACGCAATACATACCAATAAGAATAAGGCTCGTCAAAGCGCCGATTGTTGAATGGATGCCATCGATTATACGATCGAATTTCACCGCTGAATTATCTCTGAGTGTAAGTTTCACGGCATAGCAATTCATTGCAAATACGTAGCTCATAAAAATAATATTGTAGACTAAACTTTGTGTCGAGGTGCAGAAGCACTTTTTTGGAATGTAGGTCATAGGTACAAGGCCAACACCCTTGAATGAGTAATAGAGAAATTTAACAATGGTCGAGTCTGTCATCTTCTAAGTTGCTTGAAACGGCTATTCGTCCTGCGACAACAAGGTACATACTACTTGCACTGGGCAATTAGCGGTGTCGCGTAAAATGCAGTCAAGCGAAAAGTACAAGGTTATATTGACCTTTTTATTTTACGTAGTTTAATGAATTAAGAGATAATTACGAGATAACGTACTTGAAAATTACTTCAGCAAAAAGAAAAATTAGATGACTTGAAAAAATTGTCACTTTTTTATCAGAAAGACATATATATTGTCATGAACAGTATTTTACTGCAACAAACAATGTTGTACTAAATTCTATAGTATAATGCCCATGGAAGAGAAGTTATATAACTTAATAACTTCTTGTTAATGTTTATTTTTATCTTATTTGGAGGTTGTTCAACGTGCAGAAGCTCTTTCTATTGCTATGAAATTATTAGAACGATAAGAAATAATTGGTTGATAACAGAGTTCCGTTTATTATCACCAAAAATGCACCATAAATGCTTATGCAATGGAGTTGCAACGTGCGCGACCCAGCCAGCGTCGCATCCCCTTTTGTTTCTTCGCGACAGTCTTTAAGAGCGTGGTCAATTTTGTGGGATGGTCGACGCATACATTTTATATTGCGACGATATTTTGAAGTTGTCCGCTATATTTCTCCGACCGCCGTGCGCTAATGTCGGATCGAACACACTTTCTATCGTGCGGCGGACCTTATGGTCCCGTTATTTGGTAATTGGATTTGCGGGCTTATTTTCAAGCTACGGAACGTAAATGCTGTCAACACTTGAAAAGTTAATTTTTCTATTATTGCTTACATTTTGTCTTACATTCAAAATTGTCGTGAATTTAAAATTTTGTTATTGAAAAGATCTATTACAATTATAAGAAATTAACATTTTTTTATAGTGAAAGCTGAAATATGCAGAAATAATACGTTTTATAATAACTCACAATTTAATGATTTTTATTAAGGTTTTATCATTAATAATACACATCGAAAAATTAGCCATCCCTACTATAATTCAGCGAATAACTGTTACAATTGTACATTACAATTCATTATCTTGCTTAAATTGCAAAAGTATGACTAAATATGTAGTAATGGAACCTGCAAACTAACCAAAATGAAATAATTACATAGTAAATAATTTAATTATACTTCTCAAACTTACCGACATTAGCAAAGATTCGTCTAAAGTAAAAAGATTACACACATCGAATCGCACATTCGTATGTAGCAAATAATTTGAAAATATATTCAACTAAAAAATTATGTTTGGTAAATATTATGTTTTATTTGTATTGCCTATTTTTCTATATTTTATTAATTACCTGTTTTTCTATATCTGGATGGCATGAGAGACCCTCGCTATACAGACATTCATTGACGATTCGACCAGTTTGCCTGCTCTGTATATAAAGAGTACAAGTTAGGAAATCAGTTTTCTACATTAATGTGGTTAAGTTTCAATTTACAAGGTGTACATGTAAGAATACTTTCTATATGCTATTTTCAATAATTTAAATTGTTTATCTAGTAATTATGTGAAATCATTCGTTATTGCTTAAGAATTGACAAAAAAAATCTTTTGAACTATAATTCTCGAAAATTGAGACGGTAATAAAATATTCTGAACTCATAATTTGTTTAAAGAAGCTCAAGTATACTTGGAATTTAACTATATTTTCAATATCCTTACGTTTGTAAAAGTGATTAATTGAATTTTATGTCATCATTTAATATTTTGGTTTTCTTTTATTCCTGATATTGATATTAATTAGTTTTTTAAAAATCTATTTTTATGCTAATCCATGAGCTTTTGGAAGAACTTAAATTTTATTCTATTATGAAATTTTTACTCTGTCGATTGTATGCTATGAATTAAATATATTCAATGCTAATTAACCGCAGAATGTTAAGAATGCTGAAGCACATCTGCATGGTGCAACGTATCAAAATCGACGTTGGAATGACATTCTCCGACAATCATACGTTTGGACATGTAGTAATCGCAGATGATTAACGTGACAAAAACATTGGCGATACAATCAAGTCTTATTGTTTTCATAAATTTTGAGATTTTACTTGATATCCAATGGCTTATCAACGTAACGAAATTTCGTTATAAAATTGATCTTCAGATTCCCAATTTTATTCACTTGCAATTTTAGTGCATCGAGAAGATGACTGATGATAGTAAGGACAATAGGGTAATGCACGAATAAAGCGTTGATAGTAACGTTTCAGATATTTATGGAAAATAAGTATAGAAAAACTTTTATGACGACGAATGATATTGAAAACTACTAGTAATTTTCTTAGCCGTATTTTTGAACGATAATAATAACGATAATAGAGCAGACGTTATGCATGTTGGTTAACTTTACTAACTGGCCAAGTTCGGCCAAATCTACGAAAAAAGATAAATCCGGTACGAAAAACGTGGTCATCAACACCACAGTTATTGAAAATACGTTTTGTGTGCAATTAATGAATTATTTTAATTTTAATTTACTAAATTTAAGTAATACAACAGCTGTGAAACTTTGCGTTAATCAATTGGCTAGAAACGTGAATTCCAGTTGAAGATGGGCGTGATAATATCCATTAACGTTCTCATTAACACATAAGTACCTTCAGTATGTAAAGTAACACGCGTAAAGAATAATGTTGCGGAGGGGATAAATGTTACCAAATTAACCATCTACACAAATAGCATAACTCGTTAAGGTTACACTGTACAGAATAGCAAATGGCTTTTTTTCCTATCTGTACTTTTAACGAATTAATGCGTAAATTTAACGATCGTTGATTCTTTCAATTACGCAGCGGATAGGACAATATAACGATACATACCGCTGATAGTACGCAATTAACAGTCTCACGCGAGTCGCTGCTAAAGCGAAAGGTCAAGAGCACGCCCAAAGGTTATATTGATCCAATCATAATTCATGCTTGAGGTGATATGCTTTACCAGATAGTTATGAGATAGCTTACTTGGAAAATAATTTTTCAAATTGACCGAAAAGATGACTCATAAGATTGATCTTTCTGGCATTAAACTGATAACTCAACACTGAAGTTCCCCTTTTTAATTCTGATCATGCAGTACACTGTAGTCCTTACAATTACAAATTAACGTTTTCAATATGCGAAATTCATATCTAATTAAAATCACAAATGATAAAACTGAAGAAATTAAGACCAGTTTTATGTAGAGTGATTCAGCAATGTAACGGTAAATAACGTTCTTAAATTTATTGTATTCAGAAAAAAGCTTAAAATTCAGAAAGAAATTTTGTAATTTAAAAAAAAAATAATTGTAATTTAAGAAATTCGTTTGAAGAAATGCAACAGTTGACAACGTTTTTTATTTTTTTACATTGTGAACAGTAAGTTATCAACTTTATGCCAGTGATTCGATAACTTGTGCAAAAATAGAAAATAAGTGAATAAATAATGAAATTTAAAATTCGCCATAAGTGATAAGCAATTGAGTAAATAATCGGTGTTAAAGTTTGTACAGGCTGATGAGCCGATTATCGAGAAATTATCGAAAAATAACAATGTGTGCGTGGATCGTCATTGTTCTCCTCACCTTTGTGTGGAATCGAGAAAGCAAGTGAATACTTGTAAAATTATTGTCTTGTAAAATTATCATTTTATCAGTCACGTGGAACGAGTGAAAAAGTGTCGATACCTGATTGATCGCTGAACTGCTTGCTTTCGTCAACAGAACAATACTAAGAATACTGAAGCATATCTGCACGCTGCAACGTATCAGAATCGCCGTCGGAATGATATTTTCTCCCATAATCGTAGGTTTGATGACGTAATAAGAGTAAATTATTAGCGTGAGAAAAAAATTGGCGATACAGGCAAGTGTTATTGTTTCCATCGATTTTGAGATTGTACTCGATAGTTTACTCAGCGAAGAGAAGAAACTTCGACATTCGCATAATCGGCTCAGCTTTATTTGTAAATTATGCTTCTGTAAAAAACTGATGGCGAGGTCGCTTACTTGGTTACTCGTGATTTCAGTTAAACTGGAGTTCAGTATATCGAAGAGATAGCTGATGATAGTTAGGACGATAGTGTACTGCATGATGAGGGCGTTTACGATAGAGTTACAGATAGTCATTGCACTGAAATAGAGAAAAATTCCTGTCGCGAACGTCGGTATTGTTGCTAGCCAAATGATTGCTATGCTGATATTAAAGACAATTATTAGTTTTATTCCCTTCACCGCGTCTTTTGCTTTCTCTTCGTGGGTTTTTTTACAGCATAGCTTAGTCGATACGCCGATGGATTGACGAAGATCATTGGCGATTTGTATGGTTTCTTCCTGACGAACGCAGCGTATGATTAAAATATAAAGAGAAGTCATGATTGTGAAGACTGTATGAATGGTGTCGGCTATCTTTTCGAACAGTATGCGTCCAGCAAAATCTTCAAAGTAAGAAAGGATCACAGCAAAATACGATCCAATCAACACCACGATTATAAGAAATACGTTGTACGTGACTCCTAATTTTGACGAATCGAAATTAATGAAATCAGTTCTCATTGTTGCAACACCAAAAATCTTGAATAGGTAGTAGACGAACTTGAAAAATTGGAGAGATGAATGCTTCGCCATTGTTGAATGTTTCGTAGGAATTAATTGAATGAAAAATGGATTCGAGTACAGCTATGACGTGATACTATCTGTTGGTCTTCACATTATTTAAGTAATCAATTAATGAGTGACTTGACTATACAATTTTATAACGAGCGGCTTGTAACTCGTTATATCTCCCTCTCCCCGAAGCCAGTAATATCATTTATAATTAATTATATACACGCACCCATAAGATGTTTACAGCGCAGAGCAGACGTCAGCGGACCGGTAAGTAACGAACTCTACGTTCGATTATCGAGTGTAAACTCGTTATACTTAGACTTTAAAAATTCTCTTTGGAAAGTGGTAACAATCGCTTATTTTTGGTTTTCAAACAGAACTATGAAGAGGCCAAGATAATGCAATGGTTAATGGACAAAGAAAAACTGGGTAAGGAGAAGGGTTTTTTTTCAACAATATAAGAAAGTTCAATATCTGTTTGTCGAGGAAATGGCCTTTCTACAACGTAATACGATAGGATCCTTTTTGTTAAGTTGTTAAGTTGGATGTAACGAAGAGACAGATTGGTGGTTGTCCGAGCGCTTCTATGACAGCACATACATTGTCGAGTACCTGTTTGGAACCTAATAAAACGTTATCTTCTTGATAACGCGGGACAAGGAGATTGCCTATATTATTTAATTGCTGATTGTTTGGGTCTTGACACCACTCCATTGGCAATGATAAGAAATATGGTCAACGGTTATACAAGTTCAGACAAAGAAAGCGTTTTTGGAGATACTTTAGCAATGGAAGTCCTCGCGGAAATGTATTCAATAAGAATATGCGGACATTTTTACGAAGAAAAAAGCGAGGACACTGCTCCCATTATTATGTAGCCGCATCAAAATCACTTCATGCCGCAGGCGACGCTAATCAGATGGTTAAGTTCGTGTAACTGAGAAGTTGCTTAGAGTGTTCCGAAACCACCCGGAGATGGTAGCATCAGGTGTTAATTTGATGAGAATAGTCGGTGTATCCCTCGAAGACAGGATCAAAAGAAAATTTGATACGTCTTGTGTTAAGGATCTCGAGATCCTGTATAATTTTAAACAACGCACCGTGATAGTTTATATAAATAAATAACTAGCGGGATTTTTGGACATGAATATAGCGTTGCCCTAGCATGTCGTGAACTATGCAAAATTTATTTTTGTTCATTGATTCTAGCTACTTTTGTTCATTGATCAGAATAACAAGATGGACGTGACGAATATCTCGCGCGTTCTGCTAAGTATTCGTTAAACAACTATTATTTGTCATACTGTTCAATCTCTTCGCTGACACAGTCAACTATTTTTATGAGTTTGACCGCTTCAAAAATTGGTATCGTATTGGTTGATGCTAATTTTGGGGGAACTGTGATCAAGGGAAAACCTGACGTGAACCCTCCCGAAAATAAAATATAAGATATTAGATGTACGAAACTCGCAGCATTGCGACAATCTACTCGTGTCGATTGCAATCTATATTTTTGAACAAAACTAATCTCTGGTGGTTCGGGTTCTTGATTCATCTCTGCGAACTTTAACTAAACACGTCGAATAAGTGAGTTATGATAGTTATAACGACACTGTATTGAACGATAAAAGTGTTAACGACAAAATTAATCATTGTTACGGAAATGAAATAATACAGTACGATCCCAGTTGTGTCAGTTAACATCGTAACCAGCCAGAAGCTCATCGCCATCAAATTCAGAGGTACGATCATCTTCAACTCTATAATTATATATTTTAATTTCACTTCATAAGCCTTCTTGCAATAGAGTTAACGATGCGTTGACGAATCGACGAAAATCATTGGCAACTTTCACAATCTCCTTATGATAAACGCAGTGTAATATTAAAACAATGAGTCAGGTAAATGACAAAGTGTGCACAATATATTTTTCAATTGGGCAAGCTTGGCCTTATTAATTAATTGGTCTGCGAAGTATGACAAAATACCGAAGTAAGTACTACAAACACAAGGACTACCGATAATACGTTTTAAGCAATTTCTGGTCTTGAAAGTCGGAAATGGTAAGTCGCGTCTACTGTCATTGTCACTATGCTGAAAGTTTTGAAAAAATATTTGATCAACTTTAAGAATGTAATAGCTCTGAACGCTCGTTCACTATTATCATGCAACGGAATAAATAATAAAGATTGAAAGAAGTTGTACGATGATATCTGTTTTTATATGTTTATAAAGCAAAGAGTTATTAATATTATAACATTGTTTTTATATTGCAAGGTACTTTTATTGATCGCGATAAAAATGCACTTGAATTTATTAGCAATGATAAAAAAATGTATATTTTTCCAAGGGAAAATGCTGGTCATTTATTTTAATAAATCATTTTTATTAAGCTGTTGTTTACTAAATAACTTTTTCATTTTAGTAGAAAACGTTTTTTAAATAAGATGTCATAAACAATTGATAAACCGTAGGATTGTTTACTTGCAAGTACCACACTGAAAAGCCTATGTTGAACATTGTTTACACAATAGCAAGATATGTGTATATATAATATCCAAGAATGAGCAGTAACGATGTCCTAACTTTAAATTTCAATAAGATTAAAGATCAATTAAAGATCAATTGGAAATAAAAAAATTGAAAATTTATAATTTAAATAGCGAAAGTTTAACGCAGTGAACAATGATATTGAAATATACCTCTCAACTACAAGAAATAAATAAATGTGTATATGTATGACTAATATTTATTCATCTACAAGTATACATCAGTTTTAAAATTAAAATGCTATTATCTTTTTGAGATATGAGCAAAGACAACATTATATTTAATTTATAACAAATAACAATTAAATTTTGTTAACTTATAATTTCGTACAAGATTGTAAATTTAATTATCAATAGTAATATCAATACTAATATTAAATGTATACTCAGCTTAAGTAGTGAAAATGCATTTGTTTTAGAAACGCTTCAAGAAAATAATTTCATTTTGTAATACTTCATTTATTCGTTATTAATTCACATAAAATTTCATAGTGAATCGTAATGAACAGCATGCACAATATCTAACTATAATAGAATTCCAACTATGTCATCATATTACGATAAACTCAAATTTAAAAAAAACGTTCATTAACAAGCAGTTAGAAAAGAAAATAATAAAGTTCATTTTTGTACAGCTGTACAAAAATCGCTGCAATCACTAAGGAATCTTCTTCTTAGAAACAGCACTCAATAGATCATCCTTGATCTCGACGCTCAAATCACGGAACTCGGGTGTGTTAACGTAGTCGCCTAAACGATTGATTACACAATCCATAGCTCTGGCATTCAACACCGAAGCATTATAAGTCTTGGCGAGATTGAGATACTCGAGTGCATTTTCGAATTTGATTTTCTGGGCGAGTGTCTTCTCGACGATAGCCTTTAGTCCGGGAAGCGCGTACTTCTCGGCTGCTTTGAGCAGTTCAACCGGCATTTTGTCGAGATCGTTGACTTTGCCGGTATATATGAAGCGCAGCATTTCTCTCATAGCCTCGTACCTGACGTCTTTGACACCGACGAGGCTGCGCTTCTTCTCGGCAGTCTCGTGGTTAGCGAACAACTGCTCGAACACCTGACTGCGCGTGGTCAGGATGTTCTTGTGCGCACGAATTTTTTTCTCACCGATGATGAACGACACGTCGCTGTAGATCTCGCTCTCCAACAGCTTTTCCATGTCGTCCGACAAAGCTTTTAGCTCGGCGTTCAAGTTCACAGTTGCGTGACTAGCGGAAGTTATAGCAGTCGACTTGATGTTCCTGTTTGGCGCTCCAACGCCGTCCTGCGACGTGCTTTTCTCGCCGAGGCCGAGTCTGCTGAATTTCGCGCAAAGCATCGAGTCCTGGAATCTGATCTCGCAGGTGATGATCAGACTATCGTTCATCAGTAGATTCATACTGCCGTCGGTGATGAGATTCTGCTGTACGAAGTCGATGATGCCGCAGAAATGCAAATTTTTGTCGAACTTTGCCTTGGTCACGCGTTGAAAGACGCGCTCGCGCCTACTGCTCAGAATGGCAAAAATTACCGATGCTGTCATTGGAAATTCATCCAGATAATCCAAATACACCGCCATGTAACTTCTGTATCCTTCACGATCATAATTCTTGCTTAGTCTCAAACGCCAATGCAGGACGTTGTTTGCATAGACAGTTAGCAATTCCGGCGAATTCAAATCGTTTCTGTTGCCCTCAAAGTAAGCTGTGAATTGCTTGACCTTCCATTTGATTGTGAACGTACTCGACGATTCTAAATCGCCGTTGCACACGTTGACGTTCATTTTGATAGAAAAAAATTCTTTTTCGTAACTCGCGCACTGCAAGAAACTGTACACTGCACCCAAGTGAAATTCGCGCAAGCGCGTAATACAGAAAATGGGTGAACACGTGCAGGGCGGCAGTGATTCAAATTACCGGTAATGCGTAGGTCAGCTACCACAGCGAAGCTACTTCGCCAACTGACTAGTGTATAACTAACAGACTCGACTTATTTGCACACACTGATTGAGTGTCGACAGCTCTATGCTCTCTTTGTTGTTGTCGCACGCGTAAATAAAACAAGTGTTCAAGGTGATTGGCTTTATTTTGAAATTTACTCTTGTTATATCGTACACATACTTTTACTTTTAACAATTCGCATATTTTTATTACAACTCTTGTAATTTAATTAATTAAAAAGTTCTTTGATATTATTTCTATTTTAATAAATACAGCTTTAAATAAGATTTATTAAACTGAATTTTGTAAAACTTTTGTTTAACCACTTAATACCACATCTTAAAATAAGTTTTTATATCATGTTTTTTTCAATGTATATAAAAAAACTATTTACTAATAATAATTACACATTTATAGATTATGGAAAGTTTGAAATATACTAAAAAACATTTTCAACTCAAAATTCATAAGTAAAAAAAGTTATTATGTTTTTTTTTGAAAGTAAAAACCCTAACATAAAATAAAACCATTATAAAGGTATGCGCTAACGCTTGTTAATATAATGTTTGAGGTTGAAATGATTTCCGGTGGCATTTAAGACTTAATTAGGCATATGGTAGAAAACCAAATTACAACAATGGATTAAAATATATGGATTCAGTAGAGATTTATTTAAACTATTTCTTATCCAGAATAAAAAAATTTTTTTAAATCATTAGGTAATTGTAAATAAATGTAAGAATGTTTATCGCTACAACAATGATAGCATCCAAAAACGATGCATATGTAACAAAATATATCCATTATAAAAATAAATATTTTCCTAGCGTAATTACCTGTAACTACACAGGCACTCGATCCCAAGGATCGTTTATGAAAACCCGTTCTTACTTACAAAAACAATGAAGGCACAAATGTGAAGGCATAAGTAAAAGTAGTCTACACCTTTTTATGACATGTTGATATTAATTGCAAGCTGGGAATCTCTGTAACAGATGTTAGAAACAATAATTAGATGCTGCTTTTTAATTACGAAATAAAATATTCGCTTTCGCAGTAATCAAACTTAGGTAGTAGCAAAAAAAATAATATCTAAAATTGTAAGATTCATTGATTTTTATTTAATTACTTATACAAAAGCTAAGAAACACGTTGACAATTTGTGAATTTAAAAAAATGATTGGATATCAATTTAGAAAACATTATCCAATTTTCAACATCTTCTTACCTATTATAAGGCCATTTTCCCAACATCACAGCGCAGAATCTGAAAAATAAAATGATTTTAAAAATTAGATTGCATATTAAATAATGAATAAAACTTTTGATAGTAGTTTAAAATTCAGTAGTAGCAAATACATAGCAAAAATCATAGCATTCATTAATTTTAGTTTACATCATTCAAATAATTTAGAATACAAAATACAAATACACTATTTTTATAAAGTGGTTGAACAAATTGACATTAATTATTATAAGAATTAAAAAAGATAATATACTCACTATTGAGAATGTGGGTTCATGTTTGAAACACCAGGTAACAGTCTGTAAACTATAAATAATTTTTCTACAATTAGATATTTTTTTGTAAATTAATATAATTTAGTTTTGTATTTAATTGGATTTCAGTAGTAGCAAATACATATATTTAAAAATCACGGCAATCATTTGTTTTGGTTTACATCATTTACTTCGCGAAACTATTAAATGACTAATATCAATTTCGTAAATAAAATTAAAATAGAGGATACAAAATAATTATTAAGATTGGTAGCCATAGATAGATATTTGTTTTCACCTTTTGCTGTAGAACTGTTCCAGCAATTTTTGGATAAAAAAACTAAGTCATATTATTTATTAAAATTTGTCAATAAAAATAATTATTAACAAGAGAATTAATATATTGGAAAATCAAATAAAAAATATATAAAAAAACTAATCATGACAATTAGAGATCTTGGAATTGACTAATCTCATCATGAACAATTTTTTTTCTTAAAATTAAATGTCCTTGGATAGTAACACATACATACCAAAATGTTTATAGATTTCTGTTCTGCTTTCTAACTGTAAATGCAATAAAATTTCTGCGGAACCTCTGAAACATAACAATCAAATAGTTATTTTTCTGAGTAATATTTATGTTTATATCAATAAGAATCAATAACATTTTCAGATAGCAAATACAGAATAATCATGGCAATCAGAGATCTTGGTGGATGCTAATATCATCATTTGAATTTTAAATTAATATTTTTGGAAAATATCCACTTACATACCTCCGTTATGATACAGGAAATGTAGTAAAATGATTGAATAATATTGATTTTTATTGAACAATTCATTATTGGACTATTTGATAAAATTCTTGTGAAACACCTGAAATATAAAAATCAATTTTTTATTTATCTGAGCAATATCAGATACCCATCATCGCTAAAATCAATACTATTTTCAGATAGCAAATACAGAATAATCATGGCAATCAGAGATCTTGGTGGTTGCCAATATCATCATTTGAACTTAAAATTATTATTTTTGGAAATCTCCACTTACATACCTCCATTATGATACAGGAAATGTAGTAAAATGATTGAATAGTATTAATTTTTATTGAACAATTCATTATTGGACTATTTGATGAAATTCTTGTGAAACACCTGAAATATAAAAATCAATTTCTTATTTATCTGAGCAATATCAGATACCCATCATCGATAAAATCAATACTATTTTCAGATAGCAAATACAGAATAATCATGGCAATCAGAGATCTTGGTGGTTGCTAATATCATCATTTAGGATTTAAGTTAATATTTTTGATAATAAAATTACAAAATTTTTTATGCTTACATTATTTTTATTGTGCTATCTCCAATAGTATAACTTTGAAAAAATAATGTCCCAAAAGCCGTTGAATTGTCAGTAATTAACAGAATGAACACGAGAGTCTAAAAACGAAAATGCTTAATTAATATCTTATATTTTTTTAATGTTTACTTCAATATTCTTAAACAATAATCAGATTAGCAAATACAGCAATAATCATAGCAATCATTGATTTTGGTGGTTAATGATATCATCATTTTTATATACAGTAAAATTTATATTCGTGATATATCAACTTCATATACTTACAGTGGTTCCATTACATATCCATAACCCTGATTTTTCTATTTAATTTTTATCCAAATAATGATTTGAGAACTTTTAGTTTCCTGTGAAAACATATGTGATATTAACTAGGTTCTAGGCGTTTTGTACTAACGAAATTTGAAATAAATTTTCAGATTAGCAAATACAATAATAATCACGGCAGTCATCGATTTTGGTGGTTAGCAATATCATCATTTGAGTAAATACTATATATTTTTATTATTAAAACCATCAAATTGTGTATACTCACATCAATTAAAAATGACGTAAACAGTTTTTCTCTTCAAATAAATCCTGATTTATGAAATTGTTCTAATAGCCTTCGGTAATTTGAAAATGAGAAACTGTAATAAACAATTCAATTTAACTCATATTTTAATATACTAAAATGTATTTTAATAAATTTTTTGACACTCTGTACGCGCAAACTCGACTTACGCACACTGGGGAAAAAAATCATGCTTCAAATCTCGTCTCGCGCAAGGAGTGTCAAAAAGTAAAGTTAAATACGTAAGAAAATAACTTGAGCTTCGTACAGTCTCTTCACCATCTTTTTGCTTGAGCATAAATGTCCCTACGTAGCTCAAATTACTTTATCTTACTAATATCAAAATGTAATATTTCAGATAGCAAATGCGTGATATAATCACGGCACTCAGAACCCGTGGTAATTATTAGTTACATCATAAAATTTTACTAAGTATGACAATCATATTTATAATTTTACTTACAATATTAGTAGTCCAGATTCTGCAAATACATGTCTTCCAAAATGTAGAATAAATATACACCCATATTTTATAACTAATTTTCTAAATATTACTAGTGCCAATATGATGTAATAAATAAAAATAAAAGCTAGGAAAATACTGTTAACATTTTGCCTTAATTATAAAAACGTTGCATATCACAGGACCTCTGAAACAAAATACAACATCTTTTCAAAATTCTGTCACGTTAAACCAAAATAAACTTTTTTTTATTTGAGTTTTATCAAATTAGCAAACACGATAATAATCATGCCAATCATCGATCTTGGTGGTGAATGGTATCATAATAGTACATTACGATACAAGTGCGGGAAAGAGTTTCTCGTCTCGTGTACCTTTCCATCCTCGCCTCGCTCGGGTGTAAACGCCACACGAGACAAGAATCTACTTTCCCGCACTTGTATCGTAATGTACTATTTTCGATACTCCGTGCGCAAAATGCGTCTTTCCCGCACACTCGGTAGAAAACGTGCGTTGAAAATCACACGTCGTATATCAAAAAATACGGTACGGCACATGTTCGGAAAGAGTTTCTCGTCTCGTGTGACGTTTACACCCGTGCAAGGCGAGGATGGAAACGTCACACGAAACAAGAATCTACTTTCCCGCACTTGTATCGTAATGTACTATTCTTATAATACTTAATTTTATTTCATTTTTTACACTTACATGATGAGCTTAAATTAAAGAGAAATACGATTATGCATTGATTTCGTTTGTAGCAAAAAACACATCATCTGTTGACACATTTAGTAACAGTCTTTGAAGAATATCCCTTCTCGAATGATCACATAGGAGCAATCGCCAAGAGCCGAGCCTCGCGCACATTTCAAGCGCCTCAGAAATATTTGGAGGTTGTAATCCTAAAAATATACGAACATGAAAATCCGAAAATCAAAAAAACTTCGTTTACGTTAATATAAAACTTACCATCAAGAGAGCACAATGTCTCCATTTGCAAGTAGACGTTTTTGAAGACTACTTCTTCAACTCCTGTGCGCTGTACTTCCTTACATACAGCTTGAAGGAAGTACTTTTCCATATCCGAGCAGTGCTTAATGGCTTGGATCTTAGGACTGGCAATCATCTCATCTAGAGCTTGTTTAACGTCGACCATCGAAACAAGTTCACGACCATTCTTCTCTGTTATTTCTGCTGCTCTACGACAGATATCTAAAGCTCTTCGAGCATCACCAGAGACAGCAGCAACTTTTCTATTTGAAACGATTTGAAATTAAATGTAAAATAAAATGAATTGTAGTATAAATTTGAAAATTGTAAATATACCTTGCTACAAGTTGGATGGTTTCACCTCCAAAAGTATTGGCTCCTTTGAGTCTTGACACAACTATCTCTTCTAACTGCTTGAAATTGTAAGGTGGAAATGTCAATCTGGTCAACCCCAAACGTGAAGTAACTTTGCCTATCAAAATTCTTTCTGGTAAATCCATAGTATTTGCTATTGTAACAACAACTAGCTTAGCATTTGCTTTACTAGGCCAATCCAAAAGATTATAAACTACATCTTGACGTTTGGTGCATAGCAGATCCAACTACGACAAAATTATTCTTCAAAATTGCCATAAATAACAGAATGAAATAATGACAAATTCAATATACCTCATCAACAAGTAACAGTGTCATTTTCTTTTTAGAATTAGAATTATTGAATTTGTTCTGCAGCAACTTGTGAGATTCTTCCCAACTTTTAGTATCTCCAGTCATTTGTTTCCAAATTTGAACGTAAGCTTGTCGAGGTTCTGACAGCTTCATACCATTGATGTCTATAAAATCAAAGTCTGACAGTTCACCTTTAATCATTGACTTTTTTAGGCAGCGTATCACCTCGCTAACTGTTGCAGTTTTGCCTGTACCAGGTACTCCACTGATGTAGATGCAGCTGTAAAAGTTCATATGAAATTTCATAAAAAATTTAATTGTAGCAAAAATTTAGTTGTACATGAATCAAAATTACCCTCCACTACCATCTAACAATCGAGCATGTAAAAAAGAGTATATATCGTTGAACTGCTCCTCACGACAAGGCAAGGACTTAGGAAGTACACTCACATGAAGCAAAGCTCTTGCTTTTTGCAAGGGAGTGCTGGGCTTACAAATATTAGTTGTTCTTCTATATTTATCAAGTGATGGAGTACCTACATTTACTCTTGAAATTCTCTTCTTTGGTGTATCCATTGATACATCCAATACTCTCTTGTGAGCCTTCGATGTTGCAGCATTTTTTCTTTGATTCAAATTCTTTTTCCCTTTGAGTTTTTCATGTTCATTAGCACTGTCATAATTAGATTCATCACTTTCATCTCCTTCATAATTATCACTTGAATCTTCACTTTCAATTCTCGTATATTTTGAATAACAGTGACTTTTTGATTTAATTCTTTGAGTCTTTCTTTGTGCCTTATCTTGTTTTTCTGCAAATAATTTTTGAATACTATTTGACGCTGTTAATAGTAATTTATTTACCTTTAATAATAACGTACCTGAACTTTTTGGAGTTCCCATATCTTTATTTATATTTAATTTGCACATATCTTTTGTTGGTGAATATGTTGACTTATCAATATTTCTTACTGGTGTCTGTATTGATTTAGATCTTAATCTTGTACACATCGGAACACTGTTTTCGTTTACATTATTCATTTTATTTTCAACTTCAGATTCTCCACTTTCAGATGTATAGACATTTCTAGAACTTTGCTTATTGATTCTTTTTGTCATAGTTTTGTCTAATTTCTCAAGACATATTTTTAGATTTTTTTTTGTCATATTGTCATCAGAACTGCACCATTCTGTGTACTTTCCTCCATAACTATTTATTGTGCTATTTCTAGTACTTCTTCTAGAACCATTACACATATTCTCTGTATTTACTGAAATTTTGCAAGCCGCAGCACTTCTTGGAGTGCGTCGCACACCTTTTAAGTTAGAATTCTTTTCAGGAGTTTGCAGAATTTCAGTTTCAGACTTTGAACGTTTTGGTGGAGATGAGATTGCATTTGCTTGATGTATTTCATTTTGATCAACATCTGACAGCTGACACTCTAATGGAGTATTTAATTTTATTCTTTTTCTGTGGCTGATTTCAGATACTTGTTTCATTGCTTGTGATTTATTTTTGTGGGTTCCACTTGGAGAAACTGAGATCATGCATTTCGATTCTCTTTCATTATTATCCATGACCTCATCTTCATTGCAATTTATTTTATCAGTAGTGCGTCTCCATTTTCTCGAAGTTTCACTTGATTTGTTTTTAATCTTTTTTCTTTCTTTGGCACCTATTATAAAGTCATGTTCAGTTTCAGGAGTTATCAATTTTAATTTGATTGTATCAGGTACTGGAACGCATATCCAATCCTTACCAGAATACAACTCTTCATCTGAATTATCACTTGATGTTTTCTGTTTTACCTTTTCTTTTTTCCTACTTGGAGTGACTGAAATATGAAAAATTCATAGTATGAATAAAAATATAAAATGTTTAGAAATAAAAAATAAGTTAAATTAACTCACCAGGGTAATCATAAATGTCTTCTAAATCTGTAGAATGGAAGTCTTGGTCATTATTCAGCGACACATTTCCATTGCTTATCATAGATTTATTCCTTGACGGTCTTAGTCCAATATCTATATTTAAATCAAAATAAATTTTGACAATCTTATAAACTACTTGTTTATACACCTTTATCATCAGGTAACTTACTTGATGAATCGATAAAAGGACCCTCATTTACATCAGCCTTCCCCAATCTTGAGCTTGTTCTTCTGTTCATGTTCTCTACTCTGTAAATATAATTGTTAGACCAATTAACTTACAAATAATTTATTGTAAAAAAATGTGACTTGAAAATTCATTATTTGTACAAGATAATTGAACTTTTTCGAATAAACTATAAAATTAGTAAACCACGTGGAAGCCATGGAGGTTTAGAATGCGAAGCATATGCTGTTAACAAATTTAATTACAATGAACGCAAACGAATAGGTATTAAACGATAAAGTCTCGATAGTTACTCGTAAAACTCACGAAATAGTGCAAATATTGCAGCAAAAATTTATCATCCAACAATGAAAACGACTTACCGTGCAGCAAAGGCTGTGTGTAGCACGCAAGCAATCCATTTTGAGCGGGAACCGGAAGTGTTTGAATCGTTTTCTTTATGGCCGTCCCGTTCCTCTTTGCAGTTTGCGACGCGCGCGACATCACACTAAGGGAGTGTCCATACCAGGTACCAGAACTTATAAAATTTTACAGAACTCGGCGAATTATTTTTTAACCTCCAAAAGCAGATGATATTATACTTATATATTATTACAGTACACGCCCGAATTGAAAAGCTCCCTCAAAATTCCTTAAGCCGCGTACTTCATGTCGTTCAATATTCGGTTCCGCTCCACATAAGATCTGTTCGACATATATCCGTTCGATAAATAATTGATCACCTAATTTTAACTTTCAGTTAATAATTCGAAAATCTCAATTTCATCTTTGGTCAAGTTAGATTTCTTTTATTGTCTTACTAATTATATAGCATATTCTATATCATTTAACAGTTACTTATTGTGATAGAATAAAAAAACAGTTATTTATCAATTAATACATTATAGCTTTTTATAAATATTATCATTATTAGAAAAAAATGACGTTATTTTATATATAAAATGCCGTTAATAGAAGACGTCTTTTTTAATAGGGGAGTGAACATGGCGAACAGACCTAATGTGTAGGAAGAGCGAAGATAGAATGACTTGAAGTGCGCGGCTTAGGGTATGCTGATTTTGAGAGAGCTCTTCGATTCGGCTCAGTACTGTGTAATAAGCGTCTGCTTATTAATAAAAACAAAATATAATGTGTTAGTCCAAGAGCTGTTTATTGATTAAATGAATCTTGTCGGACAAAATGAGCGATAATGAAGATGATTTTGTGACTTTTGGAAATGCATTAGAGCCGTTGGACGAAGGTTTGTTGACAAACATCGTACTATTGAAAATTATCATTTAACTCGTTTTTTCTAACAGTATATCCGTTTACTTGTTAATTAATAATTACGAATCATTAATATCACATGTATTTTAAAAGCCAGAATTCGTTCCCTGTCACTCAAACGTTTGTTTGTTCAACTTTTAATTGTTATCACGTTTTATTTTTAGAAAATCTACCAAGAAAAAAACCAGTCACAGTTGAAGAGCAATTTGCATACGATGCACAAGGCAGAAGAAGATTCCACGGAGCATTCACAGGTGGTTTCTCTGCTGGCTACTTCAACACTGTTGGTACTAGAGATGGCTGGCGTCCACAACAATTCAAATCGACAAGAGCAAGTAAGGCTGGTAATGTTGTTCAACGCCCCGAAGATTTCATGGATGAGGAGGATACTGGAGAGTTTGGCATTGCACCAACTGCTATTAGGGCTACTCAAGACTATAGTGATCAGGCTAATAAAGGTACTAAAAGAGAACATGCTAAGGATAGTACTGGGCCTATTCCTGGTACTCCAGTATTAAAAGATATCCTTAAACCAGTCAAGTAAGTTTAATTTCTATTTTATAAGATAAGCTTAATCAAAAAAATCTAGAGTAAACTAAACTTTGTGATATATTTTCAGAGAGCGAGTTGGAGTAACTTTGCTTAAGAAGATGGGTTGGAAACCAGGTCAGGGTGTAGGACCACGACTGACTAAGCAACAAAAGAAACAACAAAAGCAAAGACGAGAAAAAATAAAAATTTATGGCTGTGCTTTACCTAATCAACAAGAAAAAGATAGTGAGAGTGAGTCAGAAGATTCAGACGAGTATGCTGATATTACTTTTGCCCCAGATGATTACGAACCTTATAGGTACACATTAACAAACATTTTATAATATATTTATAAATAAATTGTAATAAATTTAAATATACCTTGTAGGTGTAACCCAAAAGATAATTATTTTGGGATCGGCTACAGTGGCCTAGATCGACGACCGATCTTGGGTCAGCACATTAATTTGTTTGATCCACCAGCATTTAGTATCCAAGATAAAAATAAAAAGCTCTCTATCAAAGGTCAAGCTTTCGGTGTGGGAGCATTTGAAGCTGAAGACGATGATATTTATCATCGCGAAGATATGTCGCGTTACGACTTTGCTCTTGGACCCGAAAAAAAGAAGAGCCGATGGTCAAAAGAAGAGAAGCAGAAGAAAGATTGTATTGAGGGTTTTATATTATGTAAAGAGCCACTGACGCAAAAAAAAATTTTTCCCGCACCCGCGCTGCCTAAGGACTTTCAACCAGTACACAAAGTTAAGAAGAGTAGGTTTTCACCTCTTGTTACTGATAAAAGTCATAGCAAACCTCAGAGGTAACATTATTTATAAATTTTATACTGATTGATGCGAAGAATTATAGTGTACTAAAATTTTATTTTTGCTTTTTTAGGTATGAAATGAACGCAGAAAGTAGAGCGAAAATCATTAACGACGACAGACCGAGTATAATAGATTCCACGAAAGGAGAAAATAAAAATATAAGTGTTGCCGCAAAGCTAATAACTCGAACGTTAAATCTTCATGGTATGGAACAAACGGCAGATCGAGAGAAATTAGAGAAAGAACAAACGAAAAAAAAGTCCATGTCATGGTTAGACAAACTCTCGACCACAACTTTTGTCAAAGGTGAAATTATAGGATCAGATTCCAAAATCAAGGATCGTCAAGATCTGAATTCATCAAAAGAATCTGAAAAATCAGCAGAAATAACGTCAAAGAGGCCGTCGTTTGCTGATCTGGATAAACAGCGTCGTTTCGAACAATATTTAACCTTTACAGAAGCTGAAAAAAAGTATAAATTAACGAGTTTACAACCACTGTCAATGACTGAATGGGAGAGAGATCAGGAGGCTGATGAATTCGAGAAGGTAGCAAAACTGTGCTCACGAATCGATGATAAGACGGAAAAAGCTGAGGAAGAAAAGAAAGAATTAGAAACAAAAGTGAATCTAGAAAGTTTAAGTTTGCACGAGAGAATGACTGCTGCAGCGAAACTTAAAATGTTTGGAAAACTAACAAGAACGGATGTTGAATGGAAACCAGCGAAATTAGTATGTGTGAGATTTAATATTGCCGAACCATTTGTAGGAGTTGCAGAGGAGGGTAAACCCAAGAAAAAATTCTCTATCTTCGACTCACTTACCTGGAACGAGATGGCGAAGTTTGAGAAGGGAAAGAATTTAGATTATGAGTGCGATCCAAGACCTTCCACGTCGTACGAAAATGAAAAGCCTGTGGTCGAGAGACCAGAAAGAAAATCATCGACGGAATTGAGGAAACAGGAATTTGTTGAAGAAACGCCAAAGTCTAAGAAAATGAACAAACCGGAAGAATCAACAGCAACGGCGAATCTAAACCCTCAAGAGAAGAAGGACCTATTCAAGTCTATTTTCCTGAGCAGTAGCGAAGAATCCGAGTCAGAAAACGAACAGTCTAAAGATATAGACGAGGAGAAATGGAAAGCCGCTCTGATAGGCAACTCAGCAGCAGAACAAAATACGCAACGCAATACATCGCCCCCTCGAGGTATTTTTGCCAAACTTGATCTAGACAGTATAACTAAACGACCGGATAAAATGGAAAACAAAGTTGAAAAACAGATTATTGAGAAAATGGAAGTAGACGAAGTCAAAGCGATCCCATCTGATGTTTACGGTCCAGCACTTCCAACTGCACCATTACCAGCACCACCGACAAGTGAATCGGCATTACCAAAACCTAGCAAAGATGAAGTTTGGATTGAGAAAAGTAATAAAAAGAAGTCAAAGAAAGAGAAGAAAAAGCATAAGCACAAGGAACGATCAAAGAGTAAGAGTCGGAAAAAGTCGAAGAAGGATAAGAAACATTGAATGTAACTGTATATTTGTTTCAGTGACGCGTGTGGACAATTATATTGTACAGAATCATATGAAATTGGTTTTAGCGACGAATGATTTGTTCTTTCTTTTGTTTGCGAAACAGAAAAAGTCTATGAATAAATATTTTTTTACAAATCTACATAAAAGCGAGTAATACATTCTTGTTTTTTTTTGGGAGGGGGGGGGAGAGCGAAGGAGACGGAGGTTAAAATTACAGTTCATCTTAGTCGGTTAACATTCAAACTACATGATTAAGTGAAAAAAAAGACAATAATTGCAATAGAAACATTTATTTGGTGAGTCCATATCGAAGATACAGTAGAACTTCGGTATTACAAAGCATTATATTGTTCGCGAACGAAGTCTTTCGATAATGCAATTCGTGCGCTAAACGCTACTTTTTTTCGTTGAGGGGTGAAGTTCTCCCTTATTCAATTCGCGTTCAAGTTGTGGCTTGACTGATTAACTTCTTTTTTTTACGTTCAAAGTGCACACAAGACACAAACAGGTGGTTGCGGTGCTTGTAGAAATTAGAGGCGTTGGATATTTTTTATGCAGTACAAATTTCAATCTTGAAAACTTTTCGACTTGCGTTCGATTCAACGAAAATCTCGTTTCCTAATTTTGTTGATCCTCAAGGCTGAAATTTGCAAAAGATTACATAAAGTGATCGAAGTGAACGATAGGAACACACAAATATATTCACTGTCCGCGGAAAATGCTGTGTAAAATTCGACACACAGAATTCTCAGAAGAGATTTACGTGACGATGATCGACTACCGCTGCTTTTTTATACACAGGTTTTTAATGAGAAAATCACAGAGTACACACGGTCGCGTTTTATTTTGGTTTCTCGAAATTGCGGAAGGAAGACATATCGTGTATAGTATACTTCTCGTCATAATACGTATTATTATTATTTTCTTTTTATCATACACTTATAGAACAGCAGGATATTTTAATCGTATTGATACTTGAATACATGCTAAATTTTTCTTTTTCTTTTTTTTTTGCGTTTTGTTTATAATATAAATGACATACATGCTATGTAAATCGCGTTCACAATACTTTCAATTGTGCTTACATTCTTTAGTGAGTGGTAAAGGTTTGTTTGAACACGCCGTGCAGAAAGTACGACTTTGCCGCAAGCTCGTCGAAAAACGTACGCTCAAATTAGCGCTTTCCACGAGTTATTTTGAAAAATACCGTAGCTAACATGTACGGGAAACAGATACTCATTTCGCTCGGGCGTAACCCTCCGAGATAAGAATTTATTTTCCCACACTATTTAGGTAATGTATTATTTCGTTCAGACATACGCACACACATATACACACATACATACATATTTATATTCAAGTACATATGAATTATACAGTCAACTAAAAAAAAAGAATACTTATATAATTTGGCAGTTTGTTTAACCCGTTTTACAATTATAGTAATATATTTTGGCCTGTGAAATTCATCACTTCTTACACCCAAAGAGAAAAAGTGTATTAAGAAAGTATTACAGTAAATTCATTGTATGAACAACAAATATACAAGAAAAACAAAATTAAATGTGACCGTTCACAGACACATAACGACGAAAGACGGAATCCATTACAAGGAGATGAAGAATGGAGATACGACAACAAGTTTTCAAGAATTATACAAATCAATCGATCGTGCACTAATGAATGCGAACATGAAAAAAGAGTCGCTGATTGCTCAAAGCGCATCTAGTCTGCCGACTTACTCGGAAAGTGCTAATTCATTGAGCAATTAGATGTAGCTGGTATTTTACTTTGGCGTGAGACTCAGTTTATTAGCAGCTATTTTATATGAAAAAAAGCATTATCACACGAAAAGTGAACTTAATATTTATTGTTTTGATTAATTATTCGAGTCTATTTAAAAAAAATTTATTTTCACTTTATAATCATGAAAAAGCTGGAGCTTTACACAACTCCAGAATTCCTAAGCTTGATTTTTGCATTGCTGACCGTTTTTGGCACAGCAAAAAGAGAAAGAAAGACAGCAAAATGTCGACATTTCTAAGATCTCGTTGTTGGCTTTGCACAACATCTTCCCATAGTCGAAAATCTCAGCATTTTTTCGTGGAATTTTATCCCTCCCAACTGCTCGAGCGTCCTTCGCGTGTATACTACAGGAGAGTGAGCTTATCGATTTTCGCGCTCGCGCCACAAGCGTTAAGACCCCTCTCGTGTCTTCGTTAGCCGTAAATTCATACATCGAGTACTCGCCTGTGAATTTTATCCGACTTTGTATTTCGAATCTTCAGTTTTTTTTTCAAAAGGCAGATATGTTTAAAAATTATGAATGAGTATTTGTTAAGATATAACACGAAAAGGGGCCCTGCTCAAAAACATTTCCTTTCGTTTTGAAATACAAAAAAATTACTTAAAAAGAACTAGCTTTATTGCATGAGAAACCTGCTTCCGAGAAAACCGCATCACAATAAATGTCTTCCTTTTCATAATTTACACAATTAGACCCTCATCACTCCCCAAGTGAAATTCCATTACGTGAAGTCCAACTCGTACGGATATCGCTTATAACGTAATATCATAATTATGATATATATACATTAATTTTATAAATAACTATATATTATTTCACATGAAATTTCAATATTTTTTTCGTTACATCTAAAGTTTTTAAAAAGTTCGTATGTACATTTTATATACAGAAATTGATAAGTCGATTATCAATATAGAATCAAACTTTTTTTATTGTTTTTTCCAACAATGGAAAAAACTAATAACAATGGCACAGAGTATACAAAAAAATTCATAAAAAAACGCGAGAGACTTTGGCACACAGTTTTAAATGAAATTCACAACCCTTTGTTATAGTCAATAGTTCTAGAAAAAATGTAATGTTCATCCCGTGAAAATATGTGTGATACGAGCATGAAATCAGCATGCAGGGGACGAGGTATATTTTTAAACTGTATACAATTACAATATTTGATTAAGTGGTAAAAGCTATTCGAAAAACTTTCTACAAAACAGTACTCATTTGACATTGTGAAAAAATTCTTAATTAAAGAAAACGTGATTAATTAATTCACGCGATAGAAGACGCAAATTTTATATTTTGAGAAAAATTATATTGATACGTACAAAATTTTTTAAGAACGTATTACATCGTATTTTACGAATAAAAATTTTATACCCTAATATCTTTTTCGTTATCGTGTCAATTAAAAAACAAGAAAATTTTTTCACTGCGTAATATTCGAAAATATAGTAATTTGTAAAATGTCTCGTAAACAACAAACGACCTCACCCAATACCGCATAACTTATAGAATCGTCTTACCGCGGTTCGAAGGATCGAAACATCGGTGTACACAACTTCCTCGTAGGCTAATAGTTAGCGCAAGTCGAGTTGTTCGGTTATTCATGCTTGGTCCATGAATTCTAGGGGTAGGTGCTTGCTGCTGCAGCTTGATATACATAGAAACAGAGATATTTCGTCGTATATACGGTGTTCTCTTCATCGATCGACCTATAGTCCGCACTGGAATGCAAACGTTGTAATTAGTTTGCCTCCTTTTGGGGATTATTCAGGCTGGAGCGCGCGACTATATAATACATATATCGACTACGACGACCGTGTTTCTGCTATTGAAATTTTTTCTTGGAATTCGAAAAAGTGCAGTAACCACCATTATTCGAAAGTTAAAACTTTAATGTAAATTCTCATTTTAAAAGGGCTCGCATCCTTTGAGTATCGTCTAACTTTAAAAACAAAAAACTTTCGGAACAACTTTTTGTAACTTCGGATGTTGGGAAACTATACAGAAACGAAATTTTCGAACTAAGAAAGACGCAATCACACTGAAAAAATATGCACATCCGCTTCAACACCAAGTCTTTCGCGAACGGAACGAAGAAGAGATAGTTAAGAAAAAAATGTCGAAAAGAGACGCAGCGGCAGTGCTTTTCTTCTTTTTTTTCAGACATACACAGACACAGGGGGAGTGAGAAATTTAAACTTCCATGGCTCCGCGGTGCACTGAATTGATGTCGAGGGAACATCTGCCAGTGGTGTCTTGCGATTCTAGAACTTCCTCCGATGGCATCACACCTGCGTTTCTCATGTCGTCCCTTACCTGCTCCACCTGTGCGGTAAAACAAGAAAAATGCATTTTCTTTTTTTTTTATATTAGATTTCAGTGATGCTTGCGTCTGACCATATAATTGACTGATACCACTTATCGATATGTTTTGCGTTCTGTAGATGACTACATAACAAATATAAGTTTTTTCCGTTGCAAGAAATAACATTTTTCCATTGATTACTATTGGTTGAAAAAATAGTTTCGATTAATAAACGCGGAGATGGAAAAAGCACAAGGTATATTGAAAATAGTAGCTGGTATGCGAGGTATTTAATAGTACAAGTACTAACAACTGGTAGGCGACTAAACAAACAAGTCAATGTTGTAGTTCCTGATTAACTCGCGCGGCCAATGAGATTACATAATGCGTCTGTCTACTACCGTCGGATAGTTCGAAAAGTCGTGGTAATTTGTTAATATGTTGCAGAGTAATTCTAAAATGGTTCAATTTCCGTTTGTACTTTGGATCTTTTGTGAAAAAGTTCGCGAGTTTTTATCTTTTTTTTGGACTGTTATCATTCTGACGTTTTTTTAATCTACTTGGGTTTCGGAACGAGGAAGAGTTATTATGAAATGCAAAGTATACTTTTTGTGACAGCACATACTATCGGAAAATTTGAAATATGCTTCTATATAATGAGATGGGTTTCAATATTTTAAAATATAAATTTTGATCTTTTGAAATAACCGATGGAAGTCTGATATAAAAAAATGCCTTTTTTTATTTCATTTTAGCCAGTGTTAATGATAAAATCTGATATTTGTAGCCAGTATAGAAATGTAAAATCTTTAATTTGCATACGTCAAAAATTTACTTTCGGACAAAATCAAAATAATTTTCAGTTTTATTTAAAATTCACAAAAAATATTTAGGATTAATTAAATACTTTTGGAACTTGATATTTAACTAAATTGCAATAATTGAAACGCTTTTAATTGATTCTTTGAAATTAACTTACTAATCTTACATGTTTTATTTAAATTAAAAAAGACAGCCCGTAATCTACCAAATATTGGTTCTGCCAGGAAGCTACAAAAATATCAACCAAGAAATTACTAAATAATAACAACTAAAATATATAACAGAATTGTACATTATGAAAAAGAAACGAAATTAGCTAATCGAAAGAATTCAACAAAAGAAATGTCAGTCATTACCTTACGTAAAACTCTGAGTAGATTGAGGCCAGCAACCTTCTTGAGATCCTGGACATCCCAGTCGCCAGTACGCAGTAACTCGGCGAACAGCTCTGGGTATTTGGAGACATCCTCGAGACCTCGCGGCGTTCTTCGAACAGACAGTTAAAAAAAGAAAGTAAGTTTGAGAACGAGCGAAGAGAACTTTAAGAAATAAAAAAGAGCCAAGACCTTATACTCCTTTTTTTTTTTTTTAATAATGCAACCCATTTCATTAGAGGAAAAGGGCGCTCGAGAGTACAGTTCGTGCAGCCAAGTTTTCGCGGGATGGAACTGAGTTATTTTCGTCCTTTTTTTCCTGTTCTTTCTTTTACCGTGGCTGATGGGATCGGAATAAAGTGCGGAGATAATTGACCGTTAATCGCGACAAAATGGTTATATTTGCATTATTGAGTGACGAATAAATTGATGGCTGTCACCTGTTATTCAATAATCGACAATAATTGACGTTGAATTGAATGTTGAATTACACACACACACACACACACACACACACACACACACACACACACACACACACACACACACACACACACACGATTGATGTGAAATTTCACAAGACTAAAGGGATGCTATGTTGAGAGTAAGCCCTTCAAGTGTGTATGTGCGCTATGAGTGAAAATGCGCGAGTATAGTCTCCATAGAAGAAAAAGCGACGCGCTGCGTAAGTGGTTAATAAAGTCTCCATTTATCGTTTTAAGCACACTTGTCAATCGTTAAAAATGCTACAGTTGCTCATAGGATAATTTATTTACAAGAGAAATCCACAAATGCATTCATTTTCATAAGTATTATACAGAAACAGCATTATTTCAACAGTTTATCCAGAACATAAGTTACAGATGTAAGTAAACAAATCTGATAACCATCGCATAAGTAATAAAATTAAAATGCACTTCCAGTTATACGACAGAAAGAGAGAGAGAGAGAGAGAGAGAGAGAGAGAGAGAGAGAGAGAGAGAGAGAGAGATACGCAAAGGTCGTAAAAGCTGCAGAAATTGCCTTACGCAGTTCAAATCAAAGCCATAAAAGCCTCTGCTACGACACGATAAGATTACGATAACGATTTTAGCCATGCAAAAGCGAATTACGCAACACTACACTGCCGATATATTTTATAGAAAGTTTATCGACCGATTTTCACTACTAGCATACTTCGCCCGGAAGTAACAAAAAATTTTTTTTCACAACATAATTGAAAATCAATTATTCCTTGTGTACCAAACAATCGTGCGAATCAAGCAACGCGTCGCTCGTTAGAGGAACTTTTATTTTTCTTGTGCGCCGCAATTAAAATTACCGCTTCGATTGTGCATTCGTCGTTGGTCAGTAATTGGAAGCGTAAACTTTTTAGGCGAGCGACGCGTTGTTTCGTAATTACATTGCGGCCTGGGAATAGGAATGAAGACTTGGGGTATTTTATCGTTATCAGTTCTGGGTTAATCACGATTTTCAAATTAATTTGATTATTAAAGATAGAAAATATTTTTTATGTATGGTCTTTGGTAGCATTTGAAAATCATTTAGAACTATCGAGTCATAATTATGTAGATTTCTTTGTTTTCACTAGTTTAGAAGGAATTTTGAAAAAATATTTAATCTATATGGATCGAATATTAAGATTTAAAAGGTTTGGGTCCTAATTATACGGATATTTTAGAAATGAAAAATCTTTTTGGGTAAAAAACCATTTCTTTCTGAAAATTTATTGGTCGTTCAATAATCTTGTAAAAAATATAGTCTAGTACGAATTTTAAAAAATTAGTTATGTATTTTATTTTTACATGAATCAAAATTGTCATGTGTAACATCCTAAAGTATGTCGGTGTACTTCTCATACAATTTATCCTTCCTCTTCCAAAAAAGCATAGACACAATGAAAATTGGTTGTACTTGAACGCTTTCACCTATTCAGTCCTCGATGGAAAAATTTTCAAAACAGTTTTCAATGTCTATATTTTTTGTGAAAATAGATTGTGAAAAATATGTCACTAAACGTATTCGACGTAGAATTTAATAAACTTTCAAAATTTACCATTAGATTTTTCGAAAACTCGAGCTGTCAAATTCTATATACGATTTTTTATTAAAGAACAGGGTTAAAAAAATTGTTATTGATATCAATTTTTCATATTGAAGTTATATAAATTTTCATGTTTGGAGTAAAAATATCGTGTCCTCGAGTCCTGAGCTTCAAACTGTACCGGTTCAAATGTTGAAAAAAAAGTTTAAGCGCAAAAATGTCGACTGAAACGCAAAGAAATCGTCAAAAACCTCCAGAATATTTTGAAGCTCAGGACTCAAGGACACGATATTTTTACTCCAAACATGAAAGTTTAAATGATTTCAATGTGAAAAATTAAGATAAACAAAAATTTTTTTAACCCAGTTTTTTAATAAAACATGTCATATAGAATTTGAAAGGAAGAGTTTTTCGAAAATCTAATAAAAGATTCAGAAAGCTGGTTGAATTCTACGTCGAATACGTTTAGTGACATATTTTTCACAATCGATTTTCACAAAAAATATAGACGTTGAAAACTGTTTTGAAAGTTTCTCCATTCACGACTTAATGGATTAACTTAATAACAATTTAAGTAATTTGATTTGAAAATAATATCAATTGAATTAAGAAATTTTAGCAGCTTTGGTGGAAGGAAATCTCGTAGCAATAATTCGTTGTCTAGATGTAAATTTCGATGACTCGAAGTGGCTATACTCGTCGTCGGAAAACTAAAGATCTAAATAAAATACACGTACTTGTTAATACCATCGAAGTCGCCGCCGACGCCGACATGGTCCACTCCAATTAAATTCTTAATGTGATAAATGTGCTCGGCCACGTCGGCCACGGTCGCCTGCTCGCCGCACTTGACGAAGTAGTTGTAGAACGTGATCATTACCAGGCCACCGTTCGCCGCCTGCAACACACACAATTGCATCTCCTACAGTCAGTTTATACCATTCTCTCCTATTTTGACTTCTTTTTTCTCGTCCGGGAGGTAGATTGTGGTTTTGACGTTTATGTCTGTGTTCGATTTTCTTTTCCTTTCCGTTGGAAAACTGTAAAGTAACCTTAGAGTGTATACACCACATTAAAAAAAATTTTTATTTTGCTACACCGTTAAATTGATTTTCAAAGAATCAAAAGCATTTTGCGTAAGTGTGAATCAAAATTTTTCCTTTTTTAATAAAAGGAATAACGTTCTCGGTTTAAGAAATTTTTCTTAAGAGTATTGGAAATTCATAACCCTTTTTATATGTAGTAGAGAGCTTCTAATATTTCAATAGGTTGCATTTTGTCATATAGATTCTACTTTTGCCTTAAAAAAAGTTGATGGTATTCAACGTAATCGGAATTTGACTGACGGGCGATGAAATTATATTAAGGTGTGTCATGTCAATTATTCCTAACACAATCTTAGATGAAGAATAAATCGAGCGAAACTTAAAACTCACTTGTAGCGAAATAATCGATTCGTTAGAAAGGCATATTTACAATACTAAAAAGATCTCTCGGTGAATTCGCGAAAGTGTATGAACTCAGCATTAAAACACATTGAAAAGATTCAAGCCGAGTATCTAGAAAGCGATACGATTATCCACGTATCTAATTTTCCGAGATAATTCGCCTTAATTGAATACGATGCAGTTAGAAGAAGATGAAAGTAGAACAACATTACGCAGTGATGCGAGTAAACGATCACTTTTTATTCGTAATCTTGATACGTCTCAGTTCAATTTTCGTTTTGCGCAAAGCCGCTTTCAACAAAGGATTGCGAATGAGAAATAAAGAATCGGCATTGCACATAAGTCAATCGACATCAGTCGATGCGCGTGGACGCGTTCGCAAAGAGATAATCAATGCCCGCATACATACGTTCATAAGGCAAATAACGTTGTATTACGAGCAAACACGAGTTGTGCATCCGTACGCGCAGGGGCTAGGACGTTTTAGCATGGCTTGTCAGAGGATTTCGAACAATTGTCGATTCGCTCCGACGAAATTGCTAAATGCTTAAGTTCAAGCGTTTTTATTCAATAAGACAAACAGTAAAATTTTTCATAGCTGTTAGATAGTTTGTACTCGTTCATTCTTCGCATTTTTGATTCCTTTAATATTTCATAGCTTATATCTCGGATTACGCATGTGTTACGATAACCGAGTGCGGATGTGAATCCGGCGACTGAAATGACACATTTGATATTCATATTATCGATTTCAATATGAGCCGCATAAATTATATATATCCGATGTAATTGTCGTAATTATTCGCAGATCCAATACCGAAGAAATGAATAACGTCGACCATGTTATTTGCATTTAAATCGAGACGCTTCTAGTATCCTTCTTCTCTCTTTGTTCAAATAAACGCTGACGCGTATACGGTCCAATTTGTTAACACGGCTCTTAATGAGTTTTCCAACTCCTCTGGGAGATTTAATGGCTGATCGCAATACATTATGTTGCATTCACGACAACTAATTGAAATTTCGAAGTGATAAATTGAAAATAATTTTTTTTATTTTTCGCCAGAGAGAAAGGGTATGATCCAAAGTGCATCTAGTTTATGATGAGCCGTAAGAGATAACAAACGAGTTTTTTTTCAAAGCTTCTTTTCTTCCGGATGGTTTTGCGGCTCAACCGCTAGCCTCAACGAAGGGAAAAAAGCATATTTAAAAAAATGAACCGAGTAATACGGCCATTCCATGGTTATACGCAAGAAAAATATGGTTACTCTGAAAGTTTTCTCGTAATTTTTCGCTCTTTCACCAGCTTTAACTTGTCTTCCTTGTTATGAGCGAAACATTCGCACAAGGTGTTCTTGTAATGCAGATATAATTAGCTGAAAGCCAAGCCAGGAAGGAAAAAAATTCTATATTGTAGCTGTACAACTGCACGCAGAAGCAGAATGAAAATAGTTGCAGGCATTACGTTGAAACTTCGTATCGTCGTACTCACCAGCTGTCTGAGTATATCGTCAGGCACATTCCTGGACGAGTTGCAGATGGCGAAGGCCGACGAATGAGAGAAAATTAACGGCGCCTTGCTGGTTCTCAACGCGTCCCTCATTGTTTTGCGCGCCGTATGGCTCAAATCGACCAGCATACCAAGACGATTCATCTCACGAATCACTGCTTTGCCAAATGTCGTTAGACCGCCGCCTGTTGATTTGATTTTATATATATAAAAAAAATAGAAGATATTTGGTTTTCATTAGTAAAATTTTTTTAAATGATAAAAATCTTTAAATAATGCAATTTTTAATTCGCAATCTGACGAGTTAACCTTGTAGTCGATTTTTAAAGGAAATTGTTTCTATAAAAATATAAGAAATCCGTGCCTCGATATTATTGTGAATACTCGTAATTATAGAAATCGTCAAAAAACATTCTTTGGAAAGAACAAACTCTATCGTCATTTGCATAACGTAAATAGAAAGCTTCAAATCTTTCGTTTGTCTGAAAAATCCAATTCGTTACAAATTCTGCCGATTCTCAAATTTCCTTTGTATAATAATCACTAAAATATGTTATTAAAAAGAAATATTGAAGAATTAAAGAAAAACATGAATGTCGGCGGATTGTTAACTAATATATAAGGATTGAAGAGATATATTTAGTTAATAAACATTCTATAGGCTACTTAGTTAATCAATATAATAATTAAAACTTTGAAACAAATTGAAATTGCTTGCAAAATATTGTTTTCCTAACAGATGGATTTGATCTAACTTTTTATTGGTAATACTTATTTCATGGAAAACCGAATTTTGATATGTTATATTAATTTTATAAGATTCATCGTGTTGGGACCAAAAGTCCACTCAATAAAATCCTAAATACAGCATTTTTATTTTTCAATAAATAACATTTTCGATAGAATTCACATCCCGCAACCTCAATACTCTTTTACGAATGTAAAACAAAGTGTGAAAGAAACATTTCATATAAAATTCACTGATCGAATGTAAATGAAAATCATTTGTTTATTTCCGCAATCGATGAAAAACTTCGTCGAAATTCTGACTTTTTCGAGTATTCTTTTTTCACTCTGGAAGGCATAAAAATGCATAAAAATGTATAACTGACATGGAAAAGATTCGCAAACAAAAGATAGAAGGAGAGGATGCAAGAATTCGCGCTAGATTTAAAACGAGGTCAGTGTTGATTGTACCGTGTGTTGTTGTCTCTTTTTTCCTCGTCTTATTGTGCATAATATAAACTCGCCGAGGGCGTCATTTTCAAAAAAAATTTTCCGTGTACCAACGCCTTTTGAGCGAACAAACTGCAGATGTGCGCGGTGTGTTTGGATTTGATTGCCGTGTTCAATTTGCTCTCTTTGTTGTTTATTCAATTGATCGAAAATACACACTAGCGAGTTTTGTATTGTGAATGCTCTTTTTACGCTGGATCGAAAAGATGAAAAGATCGGTAGCAGTCGCGAACTAACATATTAATAAATTTTCGTATTTTTCGTGAACAGGAAAAGCAAATTATATTCATATTTACACGACGTGATAGCCACGTACGTGAAAAAGTTATAGTTAACCAGCGAAGCAATTACCACCTTTGCAGCTCCTCTCTCACGCAAAATTGGCCGCAGACGTGTGTCGAGTTCAATAAAATATTATGCCAAATGCGGGAAAGCATCGGGGAAAAAGGGAAATCAAAACAAGAATAAAACATTTACAGAGCAACCTCGTTTTTCTCTGTGCGATCATGTTGTAAGGGAGAAGTTAGTTTTGAAGCGGAGAATGTTTTCCAACCCCCTTCGTTAAGAAATTGAAAGGTTACTTGTTGTATTGATCCAAAAGTTCTTTTGTAAATCGAAAGATTCGATGGGTTTTATATTTCGAGAAGGAGATTTGAAGATGTTTACAAAGAAGTTCTCTTGAGAAGGATGAAAAAAGGTCAAAATCTCAAGTATTATTCGAACGACAATAAAAATAAAAATAGTAGTAAACTACAAATGCTTATTTACAAATTCCAGATACAGAATTTCTATAATGTCTATTTTTCATCGGCAGCGAAATACGTAAATACACTTTTTCCACAAAAAAGAGAAAGAGCAGCTACAGGACATTCATCCCTTATAAAATATTATACGCCTCGTAAACAAATTCTTCCTCGCTTGCTCGTTCTTTTTTCCACGTGCGTACGATTTTTTTTTCTCTTTTTTTTTTATCTCTCGCTTATTTACCTTTTTGCAATTAATAAAGATTCGCACGCGTATATCGTTTGAAAAATCGTATTTTTTTCATATAGTTATCTAGTACAAACGAGTTTTAATGAGATGAAATAATTCTGTTTTCACGTTATTCGCGTGGTTTTTCTGTATTCTCGATAACATAACGTTCACTTTACAAAGAAAAGAAAAGTGAGAAATTATAATCTTGATTAACAAACAGAATTTATTATAGTACATGTATATATGTCAATAAAGCAGCATACATACATTTATCCTGATAAGTAGCGTAAATTAAAAAAATGTTTTCAAAATTCAGACAAAAATTTTTATCCCGTATCTTCATCAGGAGCCTTTTCTACTCAGGTCAACAAATAATTTGTTGATATAAAAAATTGCTCTGAAACAACCATTTTCTTAAATTTGTCAGTAAAAATGTTTGGTCAGATTTTCTGTAGTTTTAAAAAGTTTAACATTCTTCATAGATTGAAAAATGAAAAATGTTCCTGATTGAAGAACTGCATTGATGAATAATTTTTCTTAAAATAAAAAATGTTGTTGTCAAAGTAATTTATTTGACTAAGAACATTTATTTAATTAGTTTATTAAGCGATCCGAGAATATAGATTTAAAAAACGTGTTTTCGTTTTGTAATATTGATTATTTTTTGAAATTAACGAGAAAACAAAGGAAAAAAACAAGCTAATTATTACCTTGCTCGTCACCCTGCTCGACATTAGAGCTCTTTGCCCAGGGTGTGTTGCAGGTATGAGTGAGGGTTAGATACCGTACACCAAGCTGATAGAGGGTGCGCAATACAGCCAAACTACTGCCGAGGCTGTGGCCACCTTCCACTCCAATCAACGAAGCTATCCTGCCCTTCTTATGTGCCTCGAGTATCTCTGCGAACAGACGAAATGATAAAAAAAAAAAGAAACGAATATTACTTGCCAAAACGCTCTCGTTCGGATTGACGTTTTGTCAGAGGCAGTATTATTCGGCGCTCTCTTGTTTGGAAATGAAAAGTCGGAAATTTTTCATGACGGATACATTATAGCACATCATTTCCGCGCAAATATTATGAAAATTGCTTGACAATGCACTTTAAGTCATTAAATTATCCGGCGTTATGCTGCCGCAAAATGTATTCATAGCGCATGGATATAAACGTTTCAATAAAAGCAAGAAAAAAAAGCATGCACACGCCATTCCAGAGGAGATAAGGATCGTCACGATTACTATGCGTAATCCGAGTGTAAAGCGCGATGAAAGTGGAGCATTTATGATTGCTATAACTACCAAACGGAAACTCTTGGATCTTTATCGCCGTCGGAAGATTTTAATCTCCAACTCTCGCGAAGCGGCTTATTTGAGCAGAGAAATACATTTGAAAGGCAATCCATTAAGCGCAGTTTTACGACGGTCGTTTATGATGATCGGCAAATATACGAGAGGGGAGCATTTTGAACTTTGTCTTAAGTTCGGGAGGACGCCGTCACCCTCGTTTATATTTCTAATGCAAGTTCGCACCCACTGAAAAACACGGCCATCAAGAATCCAGAGCACGCGGGGTAAAGTTTATTGTATCGTGGAGTATTAGTGACGGAAGTCCGTATGACGAACGAGCGAATTAAAACACAAACGGTAATTTTTACGAGCGTTAAAAGTTGTCTTAACCGTGCATCAAACGAATACCGCTGCACTTTCCTCGAGGCTCCCGAGACTGCGAAACAAAAGAAACAACATTCCCTGCGCGGAATAACAATATCAGATAAGATTGCGCGTTTCGCCAGTTTTTCCTTCTCTCGCGGCGAAACGAAAGCAAACTCAAATGCGAACGCACGTACTCTCGCTTTGTAATAATAAAAGTTATGCTGGTATATCGCGCAACAATGGCAAAAAGATGAGCGCAAATAGACACGTGCATACGCACCTTGAGACGAGGTAGCGAACTGCATGTGTTGCGAGTACTTTTCGATGAGTCGCTTGATGAGATCGACTTGCTCGAGGGTCATCTGCACGGCGTTCAAGTGTTGCGACTCGCACGGTACGTACGCAGCCCAAAACTGCAAACAGAGGAACAGTTTTCAGTTGTTGCTTAATCGACATTTCTCTCTCGTAACTTTTAATGCATCCCTGCAGTGATTTAACTTCCAAGGGGACTTTATACCTGTAAATCTTGCGCTCGGAAGTATGTGAGAGCGCAATAAAAATTGCGAAAACCTCGCCCGCCCGTGATTTATTTCATGGGCGCTCAGCTACTGGTTTATCCTTCTCTTGTCTCGATTTTCACGACGCGCGCGGGTATGCACGGGTATTTTATTTTATTCCGTAAATTATTTCATTATCTCGGACATTGACCTTTTCTGGAAAAGTTTTCGCAGTTTGCATTTTTTTGTTGCTTTTCGCGTGTGGGTTTCGGTTTGCTTTCTGAAAAAGTTTTTGGATTATTGAATAACGGACTGCATCCATTGTTGAGTTCGAATGGAACTAAAAAGAATATTACACTCGGAGAAAGATTATAAAGTTTTTAAGTTTTTGTAAAGTCTATCGTTGTATTTTATGTTGTTGATAGATTCGTCAAATTTGGTTTAAAATCGTCTTGTATTCATAATTCTTCTTTCCGATAGTGTTTCGTGAATACATTACTGTTTCACCCCACTGAAAGTCACGCATCAGATCGTCGCATTTCATTCATAATTTTTGACAAGTTGAAAGAGTGAAAAAGAATAATAATGCAGTTTGACAAATGTACGAAGCAAAAGTTTTTATAAAAGCTTCGTTTAGCAGAGAAGAAAATCTTTATTATATTATCTACATCTGCGACATTCAGTCGTTCGCACAGAAAGAAAAAGTAAACTCTACTGGCCGACTCAAATATACTTCTGCATTATAGGCATAGAGAAAAATTTAATCTAAAGTAGGAGTCATCGTGCGCGCGTATGAAGAGAGATTTATCAAAATTTTTTACGGGATTTACAGTTTTTGGCACAAAGACAGGGCAGGAAGAGCGTAGCGGCGACGGCGCACTCAAACAGCGATAAACTCTTTCTCCGCGCTGAGATATAAATCGCGTGACGAGAGCTAAATCGCCTTTGAAGTGTATTTCGTTTGTTTGCTTTTCTTTCTGCTGGTGGGGCGCAGCAGTACTTGAGGAGCCGCGATAATTAAGGTTACTTTTCTTGGGCGCTTGCTCGCGAGCTTTCTTGCAACTGACGCTGATGTCTCTCGGTCGGAAAACTCGCGTGGTTCTCTACGAATTACCACTTCGCGCAGTGAACTTCCGCGGGAAACTTACTTGCCGAGTTTATTGTATCAATTAAACCTCTAAAATATCTTGCCTTTGTCTTTTTCGACGGCATATTGGTCGAAGAATTTTTCACGGAAAAGGCCAAAGTTCGGCAGAGCGTGTAATCCGACTGACCCGGATTTTGGAGCGGAGAGGGAAACCATTAAAAATGGCTCTTTTTTTTCTATCTTGTTTTATTGGCAAACGATACTCGATTAGTTGATTACCTCGGATATATACCTCGTAATGCCATTATGGTCATGCTATTTATTTGATTGGCTGTGCTCATCCCAAATGAAATAGTCGGTCCGCGCGCGCGTATTTCGATAGAAGATTTATCCGGATATTTTGCGCGGGGATTGAAACACGGCGTATATACATTTGCAATCGGATCACGCGATACAGTCTAACGAAAATTTTAACTCACCTGCCCGCCAACCATTCCCTGTTTCAATCTCGGCAAATCGGTTTGACTCCATGCACTTTTGCTCCACGGTAAGACCTGTCGTAGATCGGTGTCGAACTCGAATTCGGCAAGTTGATTGTGCACGAAATTACGTATGTTCCAGGGTAAATCATTGTGACCGTCGATGAGCGGTACCTCACTCAGCACTCGTCTGACCATTTCCATGCGTTGACTATTTGTCTCGAGGGTGCCAACGCCGATGATCTCGCCGGCGCCCGCACGAGCGCTCAGACGTAACACCAGCAGTAGCAATGCCAGCCGCATACCATTCCCCTTTTGCAAAACAACATTCCAAATATATTCGATTGTTGATTATTAAAATAGAAATTGTTATTACACAAAACTTATATATTATACAAAACAAGTTTTATTTTATCGTGACGGTGAAAGGATTGAGCTGAAATTTTACGGAAATGTTTAATTTTCTGTTCAATAATTTTCTAGACATAAAATTTTATGTTATCAACGCAATTTTTGTGAAACTTGGCCCATCGTAGAAAATGAATTACTGAACAGCTATAAAATTGCTACACTACAAAAAATGGTTTTCTTATTTGCTAGGTTTTCAAGAAGTATTTTTTCAATATTATAATATTCTTTTCATATTTTAAGAAGAAAGTTATTTTTATTATTTTCTTTTTAATATACGAAGATCAGGAAAATTAATTAAAGCATGCAGCGAATTTGATTAAAAGTATATGCTAACAAATAATTGTCTCCGTTTTGCATCAAGAACAAAAATGTACCAATAATTCAGAAATAATTTTATCGTGTAGTTCTAACATACTAAAATTCATTTTTCATTCCTAATAATATATGTAACTGAATTGATAACTCCTTTAAAAAAATATCAATACTCCAATATTAAAATGAATATATGAAGTGTTCGATCGAAACATACAGCTATTGAAGATTCCAAGCACATTTTCAATAGTCTTCCTACTCACGCTAAGTAAGAAGACACCCGACGCATCGTATTGAACGAGTAATTTCCTTTCCCATCTCTCGGCAGTAATCGATTGCTTCTCCCATATAAAGGATGAATCATGAGAATATTGAGCTTCGCTCACCCATTACAAATCAATCCGCGTGCACTTATTAAACAACGATTTAATATCCGCCTCGTCAATTGAAAGCAAAGAAAAAAGAAAAAGAAGAAATAATTCGTGCACTGAATATTAAATTAACGCGTTTGGCACTCGAGATACAGAGGGAAATACGAAGGCTCCTCATTATATATATTATACGTTGAAATTCCAGCGTGCGCTCGCTCTCTTGAAACAAATTCCAAGACGGAGAGGAAAACACGAAAGTTTGGCTTCGTTTAAAGTTTTGTTAACGCCAAGAATATATCCTTAGAGTTGGAATAAGAACTTTACTATGGTGCATTTAATCTACGGATCCTATTTCGAATCTCCCTTGCCTCCTTTGGCTTGTACGGCGCTACTTCCTGATGAAATGCCGACGTTGGAAGTTTGTTATGTTCATTCGGATGCCGTCAAACTTTTACACGCTATTGATTGTTGTGACAATGGATGAGCTTACAGCGTGCAATAAACATTTTTCTTTAGGATACCCTGCTACTAACGGATTGCAATTTTAATTTCTTTTTGTCAACAAATTGGTCATATTAGATTGCAACAGAACTAACGTAAAGGTGGATTCTGGTGACATTTCTAAAACATAAATTTTCTGCGAATTTTCGTCGTCTATCCCTACCAAAGGCAAGTTTAGAATATGAAAAAGAAAAAGTGCGCTAACACTTTTCAAATTTCTTGACAGAGTTGTTGAAACTCTCCGCGGTATAGAGAGAAAAAATTGAAATGTCTCGAAAAAAAAAGGAAAAAGTGTCGGTGTGCGATACACTTTTAAAATTCCCAAGACATTTTACCGTCACACGGCGCGAAGCGCCGCCACGTATTAAAATGTTTCTTAACGATGTATGAGAAAGCGAATGAAAAATAAAATAAAAAAAGAAGGCAATTTTGCACAATCATTCGCCTTTATTTCCATTTTGAAACATAAAAACGTCAATTGAATTTCTGGTATTGCTTTTGCAACAGTAAAAGTCTACCGCCACTCACAGCAATTTTTCTTTTACAATGTTTGTCTATTTCTAGAAGTATACGAGCTCATAAATTCAATTAAGACCTCTTTCAGCTTCGGTGGCTCGTTCGTGCCGTTTTGACATAGATTAATCGAAAATGTTTGTCACGAACGAAGTACTTTGTTAACGAGATATCACTTTGCGAACGAAAAAAAAAAATGTACTATTTCGTATATTAATATGCTTGGGCGAGGAAAGTTGTTTGCCGCGAAGTTGAATTGCTGTATCGCAAAAATACGCGGGAAAAACGTTCTTGTTTTTACGAGCCGAGAACGATATCGATTTGCAACTTGATCTCAATCCACCGCGCTATAAGCATGTCTGTGCTTCGTTCATTTGCCGAGAGAATATTTTTCGTGGATTCGACTCGACTTAGAAAACGGAAAATACATGTCCGCGCAAAAAAGCGGTCGTCATTTTGGCCAAGCCAAACAAAAGCCGCGCGCGACGCGGCAAAGACAAACTGCCGCACAAGCGGGCAAACGTGCCGCAAAGTTACCTTCATGAAAATAAATAAAAAAGGGCAATGGGCGAGTGAAAAAACCACGTCCAATTTCTCAAAAGGAGCTACGTCAGAATCCTAACTCGGCTTTTTGATAAGTTAACGCTTTCATTAGACTTGAATTTTTTCATTTCCGAGAAGGTATCCGAGTGTACGTTCATCGCGCAGTCTTGTGTAAAATTGAAATACAAAGCCTTTTACACGCTCGCGCACCTTTGAAATTATTATTCAAAGTCTAGCACATAATTAATTTTTCTCTGCTTTTAACAATCGATAATTATTATTAAGCTATGCGACGTCGTCGGTCGTAAAATATGTACCCAACAGTTTCGAATTAACGAGCTACGGTGGATGCAAACTCGCATTAATCAAAAATAAAGGACGAGGCTCTATGACTATCGGAAAGCGAAGCAAAGTAACTCTATCGTCCGATAACAATTTCATCCATTCCAGCATTTGCAGTTTGTCTTCGATTACGTTTTTTCCCACTCTCTTTCTCTGCCCACGCTCACTACTCCTATATCGATTTCCATCAGTGCGGAACTATTTCATTTTTTCTCGGCTTCGTTACAGCCAGCGCGAGCGTTTTCCCTTCACGAAAGGACTCGCTTTTATCGAAGAAGGGGCTTCATTCGTGCCAGGTGTTATTCGAAAACATTTTTTCGTTGTTATCCTTCGTCGCGCGCCGGTACAAAATTGATACGGCAATAAAGCTGTTTGCAGACACGCCGTAGACGCTCGCGAGGTTTACCAAGGCACTTTTTATTACGAGATCATCCTTTTTACGACGACGGGGGACGGGGAAAGTACATCGATGCCTAGCCCGCAAGAAGCGACGAGCAATAAAAGATTTAATTTTGTTTCCTAGCTTTCCCAGAATTGTACACGACAGCCATGTAACTTTTCATGTATCGGAATACAATTAAACGTTCGTAATAATAGTGCACTAGCAATCGTAAATAATGCAATAAATATACCTCCGTAGGGAAAGTGTGTGAAAGAGAGAGAGAGAGAAAAAGGCGACGGATTGTTTAAAATTTCACTTGGCTCTTGCGAACAGGACGTAAGGGAAAGAAAGGTTTCTTAGGTATTCAACAAGTTGAACGAAAATAACTTCTATACTAATCTGCTGAGCTGATGTTGCAGTCTTTCACGCGAAAATTTATCACGTTGCGATCGTCTTCGAATATAAAAGATCCCTTTGACTTTTGTCAGTGAACGAAGAGTTATTACCCTTCTCTCTTTGGCACAGCGTCGTGTTATTTTTTGCTCTGAGTATGTCGTTGTGTTCTTGCTATGATAAAGTTGATGGCACATTTTATCGAAAGTAGCATAATCTAGTATTTTATTTTTTGTTTCTTTTTTCGCGGAAAGGGGGGGGGGGGTGGGGGGAGGATATTTGAAGATCCTTACTCATCGTCGGTGAACTCGCGGGCATTAAAAAATATTTCGCAAGCTCCCTCGCCAAATGAATGAATGAAGGAAGAAGAAGAAAGGAAATCTAAAAAAATAGCTGCCTATTCTCCCCTAAGCGTCATAGAGAAACACAAACCCTTCGGCAACACTCCACCCTCGCGTCTTAACGCGTATCCAGCTCGCTAACAACTCGCACTTCCCTATTACGAAACAACACATCCTCTTTGCAATTCCAGCGCACCCTTTCCGCGCGTACTTGTCGCACGCCCGCGAAAGGTAAATAAAAGAGCCGTATACCATCATGTTGCAGAATGCCGGGAGCAGCAGTAACCCGCCATGTTTCGCTCACGCACACACGTAAGCACACAGGCGCACTCACACGAGCTTGGCGTGGTTTACAGCGAGCGAGCCGAGAGCGACGTCGATGCGCTGCCTGCGAGCGGAAGCGTCGGACTGCCTGCTTGCCGCTTGGCCGGGTGGTGGTAGGTGCTTCGCTCGCGCAAGCTCCGCAGGATTCTCTATATACGAGCAGGGTGGGGAGAAAGCTTCTCTCTTTCGTTTTTTCGCTTTTTTTTTAACGCGCGCGCGCACACACAACGTTATACAGCGGCAAGGGTGCTTTTGCCTTGACGACTTTTCTTTTCGTTTTTTGATTGATCGGTCGGGAGAAAGAGGTTTGTTTTCGCTTCATTAATTTCCACACCGCTAATGAGGCTGAGAGAAGGATAGATACAGAGTGAGATGGATTTATGCGTTTCGGGTAATGGCATGTATTTATGGAAATGTTTTTTTAGGGGGAGTGGACGGGCGAATTACGGTACATTACTGGCTGATTTACCGTGAGAAATTTACCGACCAAAATAAAAACCATTGATATGAAAAATATGTTTCGTTAGCACAAAGCAAAAGAAACGGTTCTCTCTCTCTCTGCTCCCTACCTTATTAGCGTGATAGCTATAAAGTAGCACGTTGATCGATGATTGATCGGGGATCAGCCAATTCGCTATTATATGAGGTATTTTCGAGAGCCATCGATTTCCGTATCACGCTGCTATATTATACGTTGAACGTTATGAATTTGAGGAAAAAATTTTCGCAGAAACGAGAATGATTTATCAAAGCAATGACAAGAGGGTTTGCTAAAGATTCTGCGCTAGTCTTTATTAAGAAGTCGTCGCGAGGCTATTTGTCAACCCACGATAAATCGAGGCCGAGCGCGAGGCATTTCATATTCGAGACTAGTGACGCATCACTTTGAATATTTATAAAAGAATGCTACGTACACAGACAGAAATGGCTTGTAAAACTTTTCTTTTTTCTAAAATATTTGATGCGAGTATATCCTTATGTTTTAACTTATTCAAACCGATCCAAAAAAAAGTTACAATTGAAGCTTTGCCCGATAACGATGAAAAATCATATAAATGTCCATTTCTAATACATTTCTTTCCTCTCTGTGGCGAAAGACAAATACGACATTGCATATCTGCGTGGCGAATATTTGATTTAACCAAACTATTTAACGATTCCATCAGAAGATCTGAAATATAAATTGTACTTGTATACAGCGAAATGTTTATTTGTCAAATACAAATCAGGCAAATCATAGATATCGTTATTTTCAAATCGCACGTATCAATGAAAGCTTATTAGTCATTGCTATAATTCTCGAGCAAATATTGTCGCACACAACATATGTCGTACTTATAATGATAGCGAATCTAATAAACGTGAGAAATATCTCACGCTCCCTTTGAATTACCCCAACAAAATTGCAGACATACCAGTTTCCGCAAAATGTTGAAGTTGATTACTACTGAATGTACTTTCGATATATTCGCGTTCATTGTACGACATGCGTTTTTTTTATTTTTATCTTTCACACATTCAACGGGTTCTCACGAAGAATTTTGGTTGGTACGAAGAATCCACTTTAATTGAAGAAATTATATGTGTAAGATACTTTTGTAATAATGTTTGAGCAATGAAAATCCTAATAACAGAAAAACAGTAATAACTGTTAATTATACTAACATTATTAATTTAGATAATTCAATTGCTACTTTTATTACGTAAATTGATTAAAGATTTATAGTAGTTAATTCGTTAATTATAAAAAATTTATAATTAGTTCATTTCAAAATTCAGAAATTTGTTCAGAATTTGGTGGACAAACAAAATTATCTTCGCATCGTTATTCCAAAACATCTTAAAATTCGGGAATAACGCTTGAATTATTTATAGACAATCACATGAATTATATATATATATATATATATATATATATATATATATATATATATATATATAATAAAACTATAGTTGAAAGTAAGTTTGATATGTGGGCTGCACTGTATATCACAATTTTCGCATCAGATAAATTTATTCTATACTAATTGTTTACAATATAGTATAAATCTTCCATGAATTTCTCATTACGACAAAGAAAGTCGCTTCGCAACACACCGTACGGAAGCAACAATCAATGTCTCTATTTTTATATAATTCGGTACTATCAATAATTGAAAAACATTCGGAATGCGGTTTTAAATCTTTTCCCTCAATCCGAATGATGCTTACACGAAAAAGCCGAACCTCCGACAAGTTGTATGAAGTATGACGAAGCTAACGTTACATGGTTAAAATGTGATTGATAATAAAAAGGGAGAGTCGAAATAATAAAACTGAAATGAAGGTTTTTAAAGGAACATCATTGCCTTTGGGAGCCAGGGGAGTTTCCAAGCTCCTTTCTGCCTTGCCCCTTGGGCTCCTGCATTTTCAGCCGATCTCGCAGTAGCCCACAACGGCGCAAGGGAGGCATACCATCCACTTTCATAATTGACGTGCCATGTTTCGCTGTGCGCCATCTATTTTTTTCGGGCAGCCGGCTTAATATAGATTTTCAGCACTCCAAACGCGCGATCACCGCAATACGCCGAGCTTTCGACGTGGATTCGTATAACTGTTTATTCGAGTTCAACGCACCTCGCGTCTACGCATTGACGTTTAAAACTTTGGTTCGCGAATGAAAGATGGTATTTCACTGTTGCCAACGTTTCGAGCACGCATTGTCCTTTTATACTTTCAGCTTGGTATTTCCCGCAAGATAAAAAATAAAAATTAGCGCGTTTGCATGCGATACTGAACGGAACTGTAAGAAAACTATCAATCGCTCATCCTTATATGATGAAATACTTCACTTGTGTCTGCGACACCGGAGTTAATTGACGATCAATTTCATGTTCGCATGGGGAGGTGAGATTGGGTTATTGAGTAATTGTTTTTTTTCTCTCGTATATCGCCTGCACGCGCGTGTCCGGGTAAGTAGCGCCTATCGCCGGCGAGATTTCGAGATGGTGCGCGAAGCCGACAGAATAAATCATTTAACATGCGCGACGTGCGTGTATTCCGTTCAATGTGAAAATCGCTCGAATGATTTCAGTATGATAAGTATACGGTGCCGATTGACGGGTTCGATACGAGCATCAATAACACAACATGCAATCTCTCGCAGGAGCTTATCAAACAGTCCACGCCTCATCTCCGCTCATATACGCACACAGAGAGGCTCAAAGCAGCCGAGGGAGCGTGCATATAAATCCCCATGCATCGGCGAGCATTGCATCCTCATCAACGCTCGGCTGTGCAGCTTAGATAAGCACGAAAAAACGGAGAATGTTTCTTTTTCTTATACTTTCGGAGCCTTATCATTTGACCTAGATCTCGGGCGACTCTGAGATTTTAATGCCCACTGCTGCTCTTTGATTTTTATTTCACGAGGGTTGAGATTCTCTCTGACTTGTTGTTTTTTTTTTTTTTTCAATACGCTCGTTGTGATTCTTTGCTCAGGTGAGTTTGGATTGCTTTAATGCGAAAGAGGTGGCGGCAGCAGCGATGGAAATGAGCCTTTGTTGTTGGAAATTATACTGTAAGCTTAATGATTAACACGACTGCTACGGCTCTATAGCGCTGGATTTCGTTGAATTCCAAATAGAAAGCAGGATGCGCGCCTCTTGTTATACAGTCAATGTTGTCGCGGATAACAGCGCTGGGACAGTCTGTGTATTAAAATGCATGATCGCATATTCCAACGATAATGTCGCCGGTTTTTATTTTTGTATGCAAATCAATTGTCTTTTTATCAATTTTACTTAAATTATCGTTGCAAAGCTAAAAGAAAACGCCTGTTTACAGAAAATTAAATACCAAAATTTTTCCATTTTGAATAACGCGTCGAAATGGCTTTTGGATTTCTCGTCGAAATTACAATTTCTTGCTCTATGCCGACGGAACCTTCCAGCGTTACGTCATTAAAAATGCATTTTTTCAGTCTCACAGCGAATCCGAAAAGATAGCAACATTAATCGTTTTGGTAAACAATTTCAGTTCCACATTTTCGTAACTGTAGATTATAAACGATTTTATTTATAATAACATTTGTAATATAAGTGAGAATGTCGAAAAGTTCAAATATTCATATCTCATTATATTTTAATACGTATATCGCTCGAATGTGAATAACTGCAAGACGCATATTTACAAACGGCTCTTCGTGTAGCCTCCATTTAGGAGCACCTAGTATATATATGCATGTCTTGAAAATGTGTGCCTTTGATACCTCTCGCTATTGAATAAAGTGTTTCGGCATTAGCCTATAGTCGCTCACACAGCTGACATTGAGTTATCTTTACTCTAGTCTTGTTGAAATAAATATACACTTACTATTCATACGTATATATTTCCTTCGCTACTACCCGACTTGTATGCTATACTTTCACAGAGAGTTTATAATGAAATTCAAAATTATTCAGAAAAAGTGCACGAATTTTACAGCTGCGGCAAGCAATCCAAACTCGCTTGCATAGTGAGCTTACGAGATGCAAGTTGGTGTTAAAATTCAAGGAAGCAAAATTTAATCTATCATAAGAAAAGTGCCGTTTAATATCTAAATGTATAAATTTTGAAAAATATGCGATTAATAATAAACGATAACATATATTTTTTTCTTTAAGTCTGTAAGAACTCAGTCGATATTTATTTTTACCGAGGTACTAAAACCACCGGCGCAGAGAAAAGAAAAAAAAGTATGTATAAATCATAATCCCAGCGCTTCAAGCACACATTCTAGCGACAAATCAAGAAGAAAAGAAAAATTAATCAAGCGTCAAGCAGCGGAAAGAAGCCGCAATAAAAGAGGCGTGCAAATCACGCATGTACGTACACGACGTTGCGGTCAATTAAAAAATAAAGAGAAAAAAAATTACGGGTAGGGTGAGCTACAAGCCAGCGACGATGCAGAAAATAATCCTAAAGGTTACACGAACGTGTAGACGAGCGCGTGTGACCCCGTATGTATATAAAAGCGCTTTTATGCAAGGCGGAGCAGCTCCCACGTGAAAGTCCACCCGAGCAGGCTTTATGTATAGACTGCAAG